TGCTTCGCCAGGTTCTTAGCCTCCCATCTTCCACTGGCCTCCCGTTGCAGCCCGGCGCTCCACTGCCTGCTCCTTCTCCTTAGACTAAGCAGATAGACTCGCTTACAGAGCGTCGTGAGCCTGCGTCTCGTCCTTCGTGGCCTGTTTGCACTGCTCGCACTGGTCGTCGTGTTCCTCGTGAGCATCCACCTCCTGTCCCTGGCACGCACGCTATGGCACTTCGTCCTTCCTCTGTTCCACAGCGTGTTCCCCTACCGTCTCCTCCTGCGTCTTCTCTGCTTGACGTTCAGGACCCTGAGTCTGACCTGGTTCGTGCTGCTCACCCTACTATCACGCGTCTGCTCGCCACTGTTGTCACTGACCCGTCGTTTGAGTCTGCTGTTGCGTCTACCTTAGTGTCTGAGCTTGTTGACTTTACTGCTGCCTGTCGTCTAGACCACGCCGCTAGTCTTGTGGCTGAGTCTGAGTCTGTCTGTCCTCCGTCCGTCGGGGGTGAGTGTGCTCTTGGCACGGATGTCCTTGAGGACAGGCAGGAGGACTTTGAGTGTCTTGCAGCCGCTGCGCCTCATCTCGTGGCCATGCTGCTTGCCCCTGAGGGAGACCCGGATGCACCAGACATCCCGACTCCGCGTTCTTACGCTGAGGCGCTCTCGGTGGCAGAAAGCCATGGACGCAGAGATGGCATCCTGGAAGTCCACAGGCACTTACATCGAACATCGTCGATGGCATGTGGATTTTCAGGGTCAAGCGGCCGCCGGGTTCTCCGCCTGTCTTCAAGGCTCGTTACGTTGCACGAGGCTTCAGTCAGCGATAGGGAGTTGAGTTCTTCTAGACCTTCTCCCCTACCCCGAAGATGACCACTCTTTGGGTGCTGCTGCACGTTGCCGCTCAGCGTGACTACGAGCTTCACTCTCTGGACTTCAGCACAGCGTTCTTACAGGGCAGTCTGCACGAGGAGATCTGGCTGCACCGCGCATTTGAATTCACTGGGTCGTTCCCTCCTGGTACCCAGTGGAGCCTCCGTCGGCCAGTCTACGGTCTCCGCCAGGCGCCTCGTGAGTGGCACGACACACTGATGACAACAGTTGCGGCTCTTGGGTTTGCCCCTTCCACTGCTGACCCGTTGCTGTTTCTACGCACCGACACTTCATTGCCGCTGTTCTACATCCTTGTGTACGTCGACGACTTGGTCTTTGCCACTGCTGACACTGAGGCACTCGCCCTGGTGAAGTCGGAGCTGCAGAAGAGACACACGTGCACAGACCTGGGTGAGCTGCGCAGTTACCTTGGCTTGCAGATCACCCGGGACAGAGCACGCCGCACCATCATCCTGACTCAGTCACACATTGTGCGGCAGGTCCTTCAGCGCTTCGGCTTCAATTGGTTCTCGTCACAGCCCACTCCTCTGGCTACAGATCACTCGCTCTCAGCTCCACCTTCTGTCGAGTCCGTAGAGCCGAGTGGCCCATACCCAGAGCTAGTGGGCTGCCTCATGTACCTGATGACCTTCACTCGTCTTGACCTTGCGTACCCTATTGGCCTTCTGGCACACTACGTGGCTCTTAATAGGCACCGAAAGTTGTACATGGATGCTGCGAAGAGGGTACTGCGCTACTTGTGCAGTACATCAGGCATGGGGCTTGTGCTTGGAAGGCGGAGCTCAGTTGTCCTCATTGGACGCTCAGACGCTTCTTGGGTTGACGACCTGGCTACGTAGCGGTCGTCACAGGGTTACACTTTCAGCCTTGGCTGCGGCTCTGTTTCTTGGCGGTCTACCCGCTCGTCTTCTGTTCTCAGCTCCAGTTGTGAGGCTGAGATCTACGCCACAGCCATGGCTGCACAGGAGTTACGTTGGCTCATCTACCTGCTAACTGACTTGGGAGAGCGGCCTCGTTCTCCTCCAGTTCTGTACGTAGACAACAATGCCGCCATTGCCTTGTGTAAGGAGCACAGACTGGAGCACAGAACGAAGCACATCGCTCTGCGTTACTTCCTGGCTCAAGAGTTGCAACAGCGCGATTAGCTTCGTCTTGCTCACGTGGCCACTCAGGCCAACACTGCTGATATATTCACCAAGGCACTTCCGTCTGGTGATCATCAGCGCTTCTGTACTATGTTTGGCCTTGTGCCTGTTTCGTCTCTCTTGCTCAGTTCTTAACTTTGCTTGTATTGTGATCTATAAATATATATATCTGCATGATTGCTCTTGCTAGGTAGTGATCACTGGACTGCTGTTGTTGCATATATACCTCTGCATGTGACCTGGCCTTGTGGCCCTTAGCTTGTGCTCAAATGTGTGGTGACGTTGTGATCCACCCCGAGCTTGCTTTGCTTTTCTTGACTGGTCTTGTGACCTCTTGTTCTCCCCCACTCTGCCTATGGAGGTGTGTCAAACTATATATGTGTTAGTTCTGTGTAGGCTATAGTGGGGTAGCTTATGTGGGGTACAAACCGAAGTTAGGGTCAGTACTTGTACCCACATTTCATTCAATGCAATAATTTTCGTGTTTGCTATCTTGACACCCGTTTCTCCCCTCAGCCCAGGTTGCTCTCTCACCCCTTCCCCCATCCCACCTCTGTCAGAATCCGAGCCAATAGACCATTGGGATAAAATGGCTTGTTAAGTAGCGGGTCAGTGCGCCCATAATCCCCCAAGCCAACGTGCCTGTAACCCTTTCGTAGGATCAATCGGGGATCTCCAGTAAACCTCTGACACCCCCCCCGCACTGGGATGTCCAAAGTGCACACACTGGGATTCGACCCCGAGACCTTTGCTCTGATACCATGTCAAAATCCCAATCACTAGACCATTGGGATAAAAGAGCTTGTAAAGTAACGGTTCAGTACGCCCATAACCCCCCAGGCCAACGTGCCTGTAACCTTTCCGTAGGATCAATCGGGGATCTCCAGTGGACCTCTAACAACCTCTCCCCTCCTCAAAGCCCGCCTACCTCACTCGCCACTCCCAAACCAACCTAAAAATGTTACACAATGTATATGTAATTCGTAATTCTGCTTAGAATCAAAGCCATACACAAGCAGTGTAATTTTTTTATGAACACTGATTTTTCTTAGTTTTTTTCCTAGGTAACGCTGACTGTCAGCGTTTTTTTCCGTACCATGGCTGATGGATCAGCCTGGTCCAAAACGAATCTAGGGGCCTGCCTGTATGCATCGTGGCCTGCCCAGTGGCGCTACGGTACATCCAACACGTGTACCCAGTGAATTTCTACTGCACAGCACTCCTCAACTTGGCAATTTGTATTTTCCCCAGGTAAAGGCAAGCTTGCATGGAAATTTTAGTGTGCTGTACCAGGTTCACAATCCGTTGTTTCATATAAACACACAATACCGTACGTACATTGCCTGAGCTGTCTTTCCTGCTCATGCATGATAGTGTTTCTGTTCCGCATTTCTCAATCTAGCACAGGCAACTGCCATACCCCAGCCTTTGCCAACCCATGACAGAAAATTCTCCCACAGCCTGCATAGTTGACTGTGGATCTTCATTTTCTGATGGGGATGCGAATGACTTAGCTACAACAGATTGTCTTGACATACCAGTAGATTGAAAGTTCAGAGGTGCAGGTGGAGGGAGGTACCCAGGGAAGGATACAGAGATTGGAAACACGAAGAGAGCACAGCACATGAATTGCCAAGAGAACCCAGAGAGATGTGGTGTGGGGAACAAAACAGAACAGAACCGACTCGTAAAAGAATCACTGACGTGAAACCAGGTGGCATCAGGTTAGTAGGTGGTGCTGTGTGACACAAAACGAGGAGTCTGGTCCGGAGCGCACGACAACGCATGGATGGGCTGACATGGATGGATGGACGGATGGATGGGATGGGATGTGTTGGGATGGCGAAGGAGGTTTACATTACACACAAGAAATTGCTCCTAGTCTGAGATCACAACACAATGCTGCACTGCACACGGAATGCACACCTCCAACATTCCCCACCACCCGACCCGAGTCCCGACTGGACCACCAGTGACCAGAACTCAGCATCCCCTCCCCATTCAAACCTTGCCTGCTTGCAACTGATAAGATGCTCACTATCGCACTCAACTCACCCACACTCACCTCACCCATACTGACCCGACCCACACTCGCCCCACCCACACTCACCCCACCTACACTCACACACACTCACCCCACCTCATCTTATCATGTCCTTCCCTCTCCGCACGCGCGGTGCCAACAACCTAGCTACTTGCCTCTCCGTAATACCTCATCCAAACCACTGCACGTTACAAGCGAGCTACAGTCGACCTACAAGCGACCTACAGGCGACCTACAGGCGAGTTACAGGCGACCTACAGGCGAGTTACAGACGACCTACAGGCGACTTACAGACGACTTACATGCGACCTACAGGCGACCTACAGGCGTCCTACAGGATTGGGCAAGCCCCTGCAGCGTAACAGCGTGAGTTTCTGAGCCAAACGGAAGCACGTCCCTCCCTAACACATAATCCGCACCTCAACCTAGACTCTACACGCCATGCTCGTTCCTCGCCCCTCCACCTCGTTCCTCGATTACGGGCGACGGTGCAACGCTGCACGTCGTTGTCACACGCGAAACTCCAGATTTAGCGCTCTGAACCTGACCCTCCCGCATCCCCTACCCCGTCTCATGCTGTCTCGCGCACTACGCCAGACGACGCGAGCGCTATCGCGGGGACTCGCACCGAACAGTCGCCACCGTCGCAATCGCCATCGAAATCGCATAGCAATCGCATGGTCCCCGAACCCCGCGACGTTCACTACTGGTCCTCATCCCCCCTCCCCTTCTGATCCCCCCTACCAATCTCCCCAAGCAAATCTCTACGACACCCTTCACCCCTCTGCCACCTGCCCTAAGCACTCTTCGCGCCCTCTTCACCTTCCCTCATTCAACCACCCTTCACCCTCTGCTCCTCCCCTTTCCCCCATCCCCTTCCCCTCTCCCCTTCCCCCTTCCCTTCCCCAGCCCCCTCCCACAACTATGGATGGCTTATGCGATATGACAGCGGATACGGGACATGCGGGGGAGAACGAGACACCGGGCGGAGGTGGGAAACGGAAGCGCGCACGGATCAGAAATTGTGACGGGACGGAGTGGGTTGATGGAGAAGACGGCTAGGAGGAACGAGTGGGGAGGAAGGGGAAGGGGTGATGGAGGTAAAGAAGGACGAGGAAGGGGGGTGTAGGAGCGACACGAGTGCCTGATTAGTTGGGTTGTTAAAGGCCATGTAATGAAGAGGTGAAGGGTGAAATTTCGTTGTTGAACATTCATTGCGCTCCCCCACACACTTGCACCACCACGGACGAACACGCCACACGAGCAAACACATGATGCAAATGATGCAAACGATGCATCACGGAGAGAGGAAATGCACGATGATGAAAAACCACATGGACACACGCACACGCACAAACAGAAACACACGCACACACGCGCGCGCACAGGCGCACCGGAGGGGAAGCAAACGAGCCTGAACGCACACACAAAGAGTGAAGTGTATAGCCAGTAAAGAGAAGCTCATTACCCAATCTGCACATGACACGTGGTGAGAGCTGCACCGCGGCTCAAGCCTAGTCAAGCCCCTCTCACCCTACAATTGCCTTCCTCCATCCAACTTCATCCCACCACAACTTCTGCTGCTACTGCCAGTAAGGCTGCTACTCCCGACTATGCCACTAATGGGGAAGGAAGCCTAACTCCAACCACGGCACCTCCAAGAATGCACATTCACCCCAAAGACCGGCAGCAGCTACCATGGATATCCATACACCAGCCGCAGAAGCAGAAGCAGCAGCAGTTTACGCCCTCCACACAATAGCACCCCAATTGCCTTCACCATAACTCCAACGAAGGTCCAGCGTCAGGCAGACTCGGCACAGCTCAGCACAGCGCAGCACAGCCCAGAACGCCACGTGTCCGGTCGCATCCAACCCAATCCAGGGAACGAAATCTGACCAAACCAGGATAAATCGAGCGACTCCCAAGAGGACTACTAATCCGTGACAGCGGCGCGGTTCACCATTCTAGTTGGCGGGAATCTCAATTTCGCCGTCGTCGATCTCTTGCTGCACGTCCTTAGGGCTCTTGCCGTCCACCGTGCATCCTACCGACACGCACGTTCCCAGAATCTCCTTCACGGTGCCAGTAAGCTCCTTCGCGATAGATCGCGGCCGCATCACGCGGGCGACCTCGATGACGTCATCCATGGAGATGTTACCGTTGTGCTTGATGTTCTTCGTCTTCTTGCGGTCGCGCTCCGGCTCCTTGAGCGCTTTAATCACCAGAGCCGCGGCGCTAGGAACGACTGAGACCTTAGCCTGGCGATTCTGCACTGTCAGCTTAACGGTCACGCGAAGACCCTTCCATTCCTTAGCAGTCTCCTTGGCAATATCTTCTCCGATCTTCTTAGGGGACAGACCAAGCGGACCGATCTTAGGGGCGAGGGAGGACGCGGCGCCGACTTCGCCGCCCGTCACGCGGACGAACACGTCGACAATCGCCGTGGGATCCATTTTGGGAGGCATGGTGGCGAGTTTGCAAGAAACGACGGAGAGGTATTAGGCGGGGGGTAATAAGTTGAAGGAACTAAGTGCCCGAGACGCCTAGGGAATGGGGGAGAAAGTGCTACGCGACTGTATTTCCCGACGCGAAAAAGGATGCGTTGAACCTCCTAGTTTCCAAAAAGTGCAGGTTGGGAATTTTGCTACTTGGGGAAGACGGGGGTGCGGAGGGAGACATGGGGATGCGGGAGGAGGGAAGGGGAAAAGTGCAGGGAGGAAGGAGGAAGTAGGAGAGGTTGGAGAAGGTGGAGGGGGTTTTAGTTGTGTGGAAAGGAGTGCAAGGGTCACCTCGCTACCATCTCTTCGGGTCGAAGGTGCAGGACTGGTGCTGACAGCGGAGGGGGGTGCAGTGACTCAGGTGCTGAGTATTTTGAGGTCGAAAGCTTGGGGGGTTATCCACGCAGGGTTTAGCAACGACTTTATTTGGGCATTGCGAATTCTCCACCGTCAGTACCGCTAACGTTTTAAAATATATGTGCTGCAAGATATGTCAGTGATATCGTATGATCGTTAAGCTCATTGACACTCTATGCGGCCCGCTGCGTCTGCCTAAAACGAACTGTCGGGCCAGCCTGGATATCTGCGAAGTGGTCGAATCTGCGTTCGCCCTCCTGGCAATTCCCTCCACTGACGTCATGTCCACCCCACCGAGCCTTCCTTGAATTGAAACAAACCAATCGCAGGTGACCACGATCTCGCCACTTTCGCCAACCAGCACACCAACCTCCTCTCTGTGTCAACCACAGCCTTTCGCCAAACACCAATAAAAGCAGAAGACAGTTATCCGACGGCTCACGATGAAGGAAAGAGGTCTAGGCTCGAGAGATCTCCGTCCGAACCTAGCCGAGCAGAGCCGAGCCGAGCCTCGCTTCATCTTCCTCGTTTCAATTCACCTGTTTCCCCAGCCCATCTCTCTGTCTCGCTCATCAGACCATCATTGCTCATCGGACGTGTAATCAAACCTTGTACTAATCAACGTGAAGCATTGAGTGGAAGTATGTGTGTCTGAATCTGATCGTCATAAGTTTTATGTGAGTAAGCATCTCTGTCGATTTTTTGCGTCGCCGAGGCCAGCGTTTCTGAGTTAGTGTTAGTCATCATACAGCTCGGATACCGTTTCTTCCTGGTGCCCTGTTACTCCTCAACCCGCGTGGTTCGGATCTTGTTTCGAAGGAAGTCGGCCCGCTGTCCTGTCGCTAATTAGTCGCCCAATCGTTACTGCCTGGCGACGTGAAATTCGGTTTAGAAACTGCTGCGCTTTTCCGCCATGATTTCCAATGCCGTTAGCTTATCTGGAGCTTCCCTTCACACGGCTTCATTGAAATCACCAACTTCTTTGTCCCGTTCTTGCGTTGGATCCCATAAACACCTTTCTCCAAAGCTCCGGCCCACCGTTGACACAAGCCCTGCATTCGTCTGTTTCCGGGCAAAGACGTCAGTACAGTCGTCAACTTTCTTACCTGTTTCCCAGCTCGACAAAAAACATCAAAGAGATGTCAAGGTTCCCGCGTTTTCGGCAGCTGGATCTGATCTCGACGGCGAGCACTTGAGCAACGGAGGGGATGCAGAAACGACGAACCGGCAGTCTGACAGCAAGGGACGGGAACGACGTGGTGAGGACAACCTGTCGTCCAAGAAGGGCGAAACAGCTGTATCGCTGCGTTCCGACGGGCAAACAGGTCCGTCCAGAGCGTTTAACCCGCCTAGTTCGCTCACTTTATGTCGCCAAGTTTCCTCCCTTTCCCTTTCTCTTCCTCCCTCACTCTCTCCCAGTAACCTTCCATCCTCTCTATATAGGGCACCATTTGAATCCCGACGTTCCTCATCCCTTCCCCCCGGCCTCCACATCAGACCCGTTCACCTATGGGCTCCGTTGGATCCGCATCAGCACAGCAGCAGGTCTCTGGCTCGCTCTCTTCTTCGCCTCGTGTCTCAATCGCGACGACTCAGGCGGAGGAGGAACCCCTTCTGCCAATTTCCCGCTACCGGGGAGGACTCGAGGTGGCAGTGGCGGCGGGAGCAGAAAGTTTTCCAGCAGCAGCAGCAGCAGTGCGTTTACTGGCGGTCCTGACAGCTGAGACCGATTGTTAGGGTTTGTGGGCACCATGTGATGTGCCCTGGCCATGGCCAATATTGGCATTGGTGGAGTGTTTAAGGGTGCGATAGCGAGTAGTTGAGCCTTGGAAATGAAATCTCTCTTGTACAGGGCTAGTGGATTGTAGGCTGCCGCATTGTGGGTGATTGTGTATAGGGTATGGTGCATGTGCACTTGTACCGCATTTTAGTGGCAGACATAAGTAGCAACGTTTCATTCTTCAAGAGACACAACTCTGAATTGTCATCTTAAATCATGTCAGATGCAGCAGGTGCAGCAGGGGTCAGCCAGAAGCTGTCAAACCCGCAGAGATGGTCAGTCCTACTAACCTCCCTCCCCCTCCTACCCTAGTGGTCTGGCTGGCTGGCCTTGGTCATGTCCATAAGTCAGGTTAGGAAGCAGCATCATCATTCTGCTCATACCGTAACTTTACCCTAAGAGCGGCCACCCCCCCCAGCCAACAGCTGCAGCAGCAGCAGGCAGACAAGCAAGGGCGGCTATGCACATGCTGGGGACAGCTGCACTGCACTGCACATTTTTCAGTGTGACTTCCTTCCAAGGTCCTTCACGGGTCGGAGAGCACGTCGAGGCCGACAATGAGGAAGGCAAGCCCTTGGAAGAGCAAGAAGTAGAAGTGCAGCCCGTGCGCTGACAGCAGGCTGCGAGCTGCTGCTGTCACCAGCAGCGCTGCTAGCGCCAGCTCCTTGGGGTAGATCCTGAGGGTTAGAGCAAGGTGGGGGATGGTGAGAGTGGCAGAGGGAAGAGACGGGGGAGTAAGGGCAGGAAAGGAATGGAGAGCTGGTCATTTGAGGACAAATCGAGATGAGAGGTGATTATCTGCACTGTAAGGTCCATGGAACAAAGGCAGGGGAGAGCAGAGTGGAGCAGAGCAGGGCAGAGCAGAGCAGGGCATAGCCCAATGAGAGGTGTTTTTATGCTTGATTTCTTTACCTGCGGGTCACCTTGGCTTTCGGTACCACTGCTGCTGCTGAAGCTGCTTCACTTTGAAAATTAGAATCCTTTCCAGCAGCATCAGCAGCAACAGGGGCGACAGCAAGAGCTGTGTGCGGTGCTGTGGGGTTGGGCATTGTTCGCCAGGAGTTCAGTTGGTGGGAGGGAGGAGGTGTGGGGCGGAGCAGCGGAGTGGTTGTGCTACTGTAATTGTAGTTGTAACTGTGGCTGTGGCTGTGGTTGTTGTTAGAGTCATCATTAGGAGAGGTCTTGGCTTTACGTGGAGTTTGGTCCGAGATAACGGTGTCTCTTGCGAGAACGTTGCTGGATAGAGCTCCCAGAACTGATCGCTTCTGCATGCAGCAGGAGAGAGAGAGAGAGAGAGAGAGAGAGAGAGAGAGAGAGAGAGAGAGAGAGAGAGAGAGAGAGAGAGAGAGAGAGAGAGAGAGAGAGAGAGAGAGAGAGAGAGAGAGAGAGAGAGAGAGAGAGAGAGAGAGAGAGAGAGAGCGAGATACCGAGAGAGAAGGGGAGAGAAATAGTGGAAGCTAAGCAGACGACCATGCAGTTGCAAAAGTGTCGAGGAGCAATAGAAAGGAGTAGATGACGGAAGAAAGGGAAGTGGTGTGGAATAGCAATGCAGGGACGCAGGCGTACCGGAGTGGTCGCTGGTTTGCCATTCACTGGTGTTGCGTTAGCAGCACCCACACCAGCAGCTGCATCAGCAATGCCAGCAGTGGCAGCGGCGGCGGCTGCAGCACCGGAATCACCAGCGTCAGTACCAGCTGCTGTCGCCACTGGTGCAGGATGCTCGTTCCCTTCCGCGCTCCCCGCGTTTCCTCCTGAATTCCCTCCCGCATTCGCTCCCAGCGCGCGCGCGCCGCCGGTCTTCTTGGTGACGACCCACTCGTGCGCGCTCTTGAGCTGGAAGAGCCCCGCGACCATGGCGTGGAACTTAGTAACCGACATGGTATTCTCGAAGAGCAGATACGGGATGGTGAAGGGGAGCGATCGCGGCGACGGCAGCACGTTGAGCAGAGACATGACCCCGGGAACGTAGCAGACGACCCAGAGCGGCAGCGCGGCTTCCGGTACGAAGATGGTGAGTGGTAGGAGCACGCAGAAGAGAAGGAAGGAGTAGAAGGGCAGGATCATCTTGCGGAGGAGGAAGAAGAGGAAGATGAGGTGAAACTTTTTCCACAGGGAGATCTGCGGTGGGGGAGGGGGGGATGGAGAGGGACGGGCGGGAGGGAGGGAACGAGTTGAAAGGCGAACGGGCGGAGGGAACGGAGCGAGCGGGTGAGGAGGAAGCGTGGCGCGAGAATACAACGAGGCAAGGTCAGTGTGACACAAGGGGCCTTAGCGGCCACACACGACGCGCATGTGCGCACGCACAACCACACACACACCCACCCACCTTAGCGGCGAGAATATCCCCGAGGCACAGCCGGAACAGGTGCATGGGGCCCGAGTGCCAGCGGTGCTGCTGCTTGCGGTACGCCTCGTACGACTGCGGCAGCTCGCACTGCACCTCCACGTCGTTCAGGAACACGAAGCGCCACCCCTTAAGATGCGCGCGCACCGCGAGATCCATGTCCTCCACCGTCGTCCGATCCAGCCACCCGCCGCTATCCTCCAGCGCGGCGATTCGCCACACGCCCGCGGTTCCGTTGAACCCGAAGAAGCCGAGAAACGCGCCGTTGACCTGCTGCTCGATCTCGAAGTGGAACGCCAGGTTCACGTGCTGGAGCCGCGTTAGGAGGTTCTCCTCGCGGTTGACGAAGCTCCAGCGCGCCTGGACGAGCGCCACGTCAGGCTGGTCCTTGAAATGCGGGACGGTCCGTCGCAGGAAATCCGGGCGCGGCTGGAAATCTGCGTCGAAAATGGCGACGAACTCGTACTTTCGCACGTAGTCGCACGCCATCGCGCTCGCCAGGTTACCCGCTTTGTAACCCTTGCGATCCGTCCTGTGGCGGTACACGATCGGCGCACCTCGCGCCGCCCACGCTTCCACCTCCGCGCGAATCATATCCGCCGTCTCCTCGTCACTGCTGTCGTCTAAAACCTGCACCAGGAACCGGCTAGCCGGCCAGTCAAGCTGACACGCGGCAGCGATCGACTGGTCGTAAACCTCACGCTCGTTACACATCGGAATCTGGACTAGAACCATGGGGAAAGCGTCGGATGCGGGGCGCTCGGGATCCACTGCCGCGTCGGCTTCGTAACGGCCCTTGGGTTGCGGGCGGTAGCGGGTGAGGAAAAGGTACAAGCCGCCCAACGCAAGCACGAGACGGTCGACGGATTGCAGGAGGAAGAGGTAGATGCAGAAATCCGTCGCCCACTGCAGCGGGCGACCGATCCATATCGCCCTGCGACGGCGACGACGGGAAAGAGGGCGAACACGCAAGTTGAGAGGAAAACTCAAGAAGTGGAGACTCAAGCAAAAACGAACAGCCCCCATTTACAATTTCGGAAGGAACAGCTCAAGGCACAGCTCTTGGCCCGCCCATCTCGAGTCACTCCTTACCGGAAACTCAGCCAGTGCCCGTACATCTCCGCGCCCCACAACTCCAATCGCGTCACGGTTCTTTCCCGCCCGTGGTACAGCCAGTGATACCATTCCCACTGCAACTCGCCGCTGTGCGCGCAAACTTCCACTATCAGCAGCAACACCGACACCAGCAGCAGAACCCGCAAGCCCAGCAGAATCCCCCTCCCACCGCCGCCGTTACCGCTGAATCGCGACTTCCCGCCCGCGAGAGGACTCTGGCTCTCGTCGTAATCGGAATAGTACCCGTCGTCATCGTCTTCGTCGTAGTCGAATTCATCTCCGCCGTCCATTGCCGGATCGACGCTCTCTGTCCCTTTGCGCGCCAACAACCGTTCGTGAACGGCTGACGTCAGCGACAAAAATCCCGACGTCATCCACCGGAAGATTCCCGCCGCGCGTTGAGCCCGGAGCCACAGCAGCCAAGTCACCAGCTTCGCGCTTCGGACTCGTGCAGGCTTACTTAGTGAGCTGGTCTCCCGGTCTCGATACCCGGATTCTCCGGAAGCAGAGAATGCGGGTGGAGTCGTTGCGCACACCGGGGTATGCGGAGAGTCAAGGGGGGAGTCGCCTCTCAAGGTACAACCAGTCTCAGCTTGCGCACTCGCTCCGGATCGAAGGCTGGACGCGTCATCGGCGCCGCCAGACGCGGAGAGCAGCGAGTGGCTGCTAGTGCGGGGAATTGGCTGCGTCGAAAATGCTGGGAAAGGAGAGAACGGCGACGCGGGTGGGATATTGTTAGGCGTCCGATGGGGGCACGCGGAGGAGGGTTCGACGTCTTGTGATGGTAATGAGAGGACGGATGGCCGAATGCGTGAGGTGGCGATGTTAGCAGGACACGAATCCACGGGAAACGTGCTGGTCGAAGCGTTATTCCCGCGCGAAATCTGTGCAGCAGGAGTAGATCCTCCTGATTGGTTCTGCGGAGCACCTCCGACGCTGATTCCGTTGCCCATACGGTTCCATATTGATTTAGGCGCGTCGAACTGGAATACGTTATGATTCTCACAATGGCGGTTGTTAGGGTCCGTATCGTGCGCCATTTTCGAGTGGCTGGGCAGCCACGCACGCGATTTTACCGTGCTGAGCTTTGGAAGTCAAGGCAAAGGAGCAACCGAGTTACGGGAAAGCTGAGGTACTTGTGGAGATTCGAGAGAAGTTTGAAGTATCGTGGGAATTCGGGTGGAATGCGAGGATTTGGAGTTATGGAGGAGGATGGAACACCAGAAGATACACTAGGTGCAATTTTGGAACTTCGCTACGTACGTCGCGTCGCGTCGCGTTGATGGATTCCTTGATGGGTCATGCGTCGCGCGGGATGCTGAAGCAGACTGCGCCGTGGAAATCAGGTCATTGGCGAAGTGGGCTGTTGCGAAAAGAAGCGCCTTCGTAAGTCGTGTGATTAAGTCAGAAACCACAGCTGGCGTCGGCTTCTGTCGTCAGCGTCGCCACTTTGACGCCTGCCACAGTTCTGGGTGCTGATGGCCGACTCGGGATTCCTCGCGACGGGTAGACTGGATTTCGCAAAGGAGCCGACCCCGACTGGAAACGCTGGTTTGGCGAATGGGTCAGATCTTTTCTTACCGACCTTTCTTTCCAAACATTTTGAACGACGAGCTTGTTGTGCAGAACGACTCTTTCGCCGACTGTTCGTCGAGGCGCTGGTTACCGCTGACTCTACAACGTAGGTTGCTCTGAAGCTTCAATGACGGCGCAATGTCCTTGCGACTCGGAGTAGGGGTGAACCACACGCTTGACGACACCTGTGCCAGCCCAAAACGGCCGTTCTTGAAGGCGGTTTACGAAAAAGGCACAACGGGAGGGGCGCCAAGAAACCATTCGCTTTCACAACCCGCTCCCCAGGGGTTGCTGTACAAATGTTCTTGCTTAGGGTCCCGGTAAAAAACACACGCGCTGCGGGCCTTTGTGGAAAACCCTTCAAACCCCAGGCAAACGGGACCCTATAGTCCCATTTTCAGTAAAATTGCATGGAAATCGGTTTGACTTCGCTACTAGTTGTTGTTTTCTGTCATATACGTACCATTCGGAATGCGCTTGATTCAACTTCTCGTCGCAAGGTTCTCCCCGTTGATCAATGTTGCACGACAGACGGGCAGAATAAACAAAATCGGTAATGTTTGATGACTTGATGAAAGGAAATATAATTCGTTTTTGCCTGTCATCGTCGAGCGTGCCGTGAAATTCTCGACGGGATTTAGAAGCAAGCGCGGTCAAGAGAAATAATCAGAAATAGATTCCAAAGTAAATATGGAAGCGAAATTTCCTTCTCTCACATTTTCCGGGGTTGGTTCGATTTGGGCCCTCTGATTGGCTGCGGAACTGATCCGCAGTCAAGCTGGAAAATTTCCCGCCAAAAACGGGACTGTAGAGGAGGGGCTACACCTAGGACAAACATGAAAAATCTACACGATGGGGAAAATGGACTCTCTTAGGAAGGGCTTCAAAGCCAGTACGACATCGTACCTAGATGCCATTTGGGGGAAAAAAGGTGTTATGAGTTGTACTAAGAAGAGTGCGTGGAAGACTTTATAAAAAGGATGAGAATTACAGAATGACGAGAATGATAAAGAAGCAAGCATTTATAGGGTCGAAACCGTCGTAGGCGAGGACCTCGGCACGTGGATGGGTTGGAAGTGTCGCGATTGGTGCGGGGCGACTCGGCGCTGGTTCGGTACGAAAGTGTAGTCCGAGCCCAAACTGACGCGAACAGTTCGGGCTGTCCTCGCTAGGAGCAGCCTCTACAGTAATGAATTCACATTCAGGACAAAAGGGGTGTCTAGCAGAGAAACTAGAAATGTAACAAGCATTGCAGTAAAAATCACATGTAACAAGAATTAGTTCTTTCGTCTGCTTACATTACAAATATTTTTTCTGCACTCTGTTATACTCCATAAGAAATTTGCGTGATGTGCTGTATCCTGTAATAACTTCTCAAGAGATGACTTCTATTCTTCCCTGTGATGACTGTTTCATTAATTTCTCCGTAACTATCCAATGGCTTGGCGTATCAAATATTCCAGTCTATAACGGATCATAACTACATAACACCTTAGCCACCAGGATGTTGCCTGCCGTTCACTGCGTCAACCAATCAATTCAACTTGCCAGCAGGGTCTTCGAATCAGAGGCATTATTGGAGGCAGAAGCTCACCAGCCACCACCCCCCCATACCAACAGATCAAGCGCGTTCCAGCAATTCGTGCCGCGCATCATGGCGGGCAGGTCGCGGGTTTGGGAGGGACAGAGAATACAGTTTCAGTCTATCCGCATCAGTCTGGTCGTCCGCTCCGCTTACTCCGCTGTCCTCGTCAGATGCCGGTTGGTCGTTGGTCTTTCCGTCAACCTCGCGGGAGCCAGTCATGTCGAGCCTGTCAACCCAAGGAGGCTGGGTACTGTACAGTATCAGAGTTCCCACACCGCTGTGATCTCCACAGACCTGTCAAACCAGATCACAAAAATTCTATTGGGCTTCGATCTTACCAAAGCAAGACGTGAAAGACTGGGACGAACCAAACCAAGCGAGCCAGAATATCGAACCTCTGGTGCCCGGCTCGGCAGCAGTCTCCCTTCCCAACCAGGACAACCTCGGTTGTTTCGATTTTGCCGTACCTCAATCATGAGGACGTGGAGCGGATGTTCTCCCCCCACCACCTAGACCCCCTTGAATATTCCCCAACCTCCCTTCCCCCCTTTTCACTAAACTTTCTCCCCTTCTCCCCGCTCCCCCCTCCCGAACGCGTTTCGCTACTTCCGTCCGTTGCTCTGGGTTATTTGTGCTGGGTTTCTGCTGCGCATTCCACGCATGCATTCAAGAGGTTGCATGGTTGCTTCTGCTGTGGATGCGACCTTTGAGTCTCGATCGCCCGCCGTTGCCTGCTGTCTGACCGAGAAGTGGCTACAGGTTTTCGGATTCGACGTGTGCAGTTCAGCTCCTGCCTGCCGTCTTCGACGGCCTAACTAAGATGAATTTGACGACCTGTAGAAGTTAAAACATAGCCATTTCGAACTTCGAGGTTCATCGTTGGTCATCGTGTCTTCAAGAACCATGAATTTCCTTCATCGATCGCTTTCGCCGGTTATTGATCGTGTACAAAATCATCGTCTCCGAGCAACCACCTGTTTTACGCCACTCGCCCTCCTACTATTCTTAGTCGTTCTTCAAACTAGCGCAGCTACAGCCAATAAACCGGCCAGCAATGTTTCCCCAGGGATTGGCCGGTCGATCCTGGAAGTCAGTGGGACTGAGTCTGACAGCATCACCAAACGAAACCTTCCTTTTATTGCGGAAATGAACTATGGCTACTTCAAGCCGTCTCTCACACGAATCTCTGCTTCCCCTGCACGGCGAAATCTGGTCGAAGCGCGGATGTGGCTTTACGGTCATGTGCTGACACAAGGGTAAGTCCTTTGTTTCCCTTTTCCGCTCATGTTCGGTTGCCGGATTCACGAGCGAACACCCCGCGTTTTGGTATTTTTTCACATAGCAAGGACTTCCGATGCATGGTTGAACCACAACCCAGGCTGGGTTGTCCTCCATTGGCGAATTCTATTTGCTACGCGTGTCCATTCTTTCCTCCTTCCGCCGTGCTTCTCCCTCCTTCAGCTACTATTACGCTAACCTGTGGTTCGGCACGCCCGGGCGTCGCTTCGCGGTGATCGTGGATACGGGCAGCACCGTCACCTACGTGCCGTGTGCCTCGTGCAGCGAGTGCGGTAGCCACCACCAGGTATTGATAATCTTCTTTTGAGACGTCTCAAAGGTAGCCTAGCCACCTACAGGTATTAATAATCTCCGGATTTTGAATTCAGGGTTAAGTTAACCTGGTTGGGGTTAAGATGCTAAGGGGCACAAATTGGTTCAAGTAGATGAATCTGAGAGGTTGCGTCCAGATCTGATATCCGGAAAAGTCAACAGTAACCTTGAATTGCTGGGAATTTAATGGTGGAACCAGATAACGAGAGTGTTGAAATAGTTCTAACCAACCAACAAGTGAATAGCCTAATCTAGAGTTGGACCCACTGGACCAGCTCCCAGAGTCCCTTTTCCGCGTTGACCTTCCTTTCCTTGTTTTGTAACCTCTCCTATAATTCCTCCTCCTCTTGCCGTTTGTTGTTCCCAAATGACCTTCAACATATGCTCCCCTGCACCAGCCAGTCCCTGTTGCGCCTGATGTTTATGATTATAACGGACATGGACATAAGATCCCCTTTCGTCCGTTCGTCCCTGTTGCGCCTGATGATATTGATTGTAACTGGCTCTGTTGCGGAACAACGGACATGGAATTCCCTTTCGTCCGTTCGTCCCCTCCCCGCCCCCACCCACGTCTCAACCACTCCCTTCCCCACGTCCCCCTTTTCAACCACTCCCCACCCTGCTCCACCGCGATCCGCAGGACCTGCCGTTCGATCCGCAGCAGTCGTCGACGTACCAGTTCGTACCGTGCAGTTCGGACCAGTGCCCGTACCACGACTGCCAGGACAACTCAGACGAGTGCTCGTACGACCGGCACTACGCGGAGAACAGCAGCAGCAGCGGGCTAATCGTCTCGGACGTGGTCACGTTCGGAAACGCGTCCACGCTTCCGCCTGCGCGCATCCTCTTCGGGTGCGAGCTGGCCGAAACGGGCGACATTTACACGCAGAAGGCGGATGGGATTATGGGCATGGGGCGCGGGGAGCTGGGAATTGTGAGCCAGCTGTCGGTGGGAGCGGGGAAGGTGATGGACGAGCAGTTTTCGCTGTGCTATGGCGGGTCGGAGGGCGGCGGCGGAGCGATGATCATGGGGGCTATTCAGCCGCCTGCTGGGATGAAGTTTACGAAGATGGATATGCGCAGGTAGGTCTTGGTGGTGTTTGGTTGAGTCCGGTTTTCTGATTCGCTCAGATTTTCCCTGTTTTCTCACCCTCGCCCTTATCATCTCTCTCTCCCTCAACCTCATCCCACCCTCACCTTCTTCCTCACACTCACGCCCACCCTCTCACGCCCACCCTCTCACGCCCACCCTCTCACGCCCACCCTCTCACGCCCACCCTCTCACGCCCACCCTCTCACGCCCACCCTCTCACGCCCACCCTCTCACGCTCACCCTCTCACGCCCACCCTCTCACGCCCACCCTCTCTCGCCCACCCTCTCTCGCCCACCCTCTCTCGCCCACCCTCTCTCGCCCACCCTCTCTCGCCCACCCTCTCTCGCCCTCCCGCTCACCCTCCCGCTCTCCCCAAAAAGCACAAGATGATAGGAACAAGTGATGTAAAGGTTAGTAGAGAAGAAAGGGGCCGGGCCGAAAGGCCTAAGCATTCATTCTTCACACTGCCGTCCCACATCCTCTCTTCCCATTCCCCATCTTCCTACTTTGCCCTCCCCCTCCGCCCCTCCTCTTTCCCTTCCCTCCCTCTCACCTCCGTACTAGAGTGACAGCACCAATCGCGGAGTTGAACCTCTCAAGCATTCTCTCCCCACTCTCGTCCCATATCCCTCCTCCCCCTTGTCCCCCCTGTACCGCAGTGGCTGCACGTACTACAACGTGATGCCGAACACCATTAATCTAGATTCAAGGTGGACGGCAAGCCTCTTGAATCGACTCAAAGCTACCCTCCATCCCTCCCTTTCCCCCTCCTCCCCCCTTCCTCCCTTCCCCCCTCCCTCCCCCCTCTCTTCCCCCCTCCCTCCCCCCCCTCCCCCCCCTGTGCCACAGTGGCGGCACGTACTATAACGTGATTCTGAACGCCATCACGGTGGCTGGCAAGCCCCTGGATCTGGACATGTCGGTGTTCCGGTCGGGGTACGGTGTGGTCATGGACAGCGGCACCACCTTCTCCTACCTCCCCCGCAAGGCCTTTGAAGCATTCAAAGCCGCTGTGAGTCGAAGCACGGCGTTGGTGGTTGAGAGATGGGGCGAGACGGGTTGAGATGGGTGAGATGGGGTGAGATGGGTTGAGATGGGTGAGATGGGGCGAGATGGGCTGCAGTGGACTGGGCTGGGCTGAAAGGATGAAGTGTGAGAAGGTCTACATAGCAAGTGGCTGGTATGCATGTAGTTCTGTTGGGAAATCGGGCGGCTTCCGTTCAATGTCTTGCGCTTGTGTGTACTACAATAGTGGTGCTGTTTCTTTTGGCATGGTTGCGTTGCAGGTGGACGCATCAGTGAAAGGCGTGCAGAGCGTTCCTGGTCCAGATTCAGTGTACCAGGACGTATGCTATGGCGGAGCCTCGCAGTAAGTCGTGTTGTGGCTTACGTGTCCTGCCCCGCCGTCCATCCCTAACCATTTCACATGCCAACCCCCACCCCCTTATTGTCCCCCACCTTTCTTTCTGTTGATGGTCAAGAGGGTGGTCTTGTCTCTTCAAAAACAAGTTACCGACAGGATGAGGCAGACACACACACACACACACGCACACACACACACACACACACACACACGCACACACACACACACACACACGCACACACACACAAATTACCAGCTTAAAGCTCTTCCTCTCACTTTCCGCTCCCCTCTTTTCTCCCCATGCACTCCTGCTGTCGACCTGCCCCCGCTCACCCGCCCTCTTCCTGCCTGGGCATCTGCCTCCCTCTGTGTGTGTGTGGCTGCAATCCGTGCGCCCTCAATCCGTGTGACCGCGCCCCTCACAGCAAGATAGAGGAGCTCCCCAACTACTTCCCCACCGTCTCCGTCTGAGCTTACTCAAAGGCCACCTCGCTACATGCATGTGTGCACGTGATCCCTATGCGCATGTGTGCATGTGTGTGTGCCCTCCATCCCTGTGTGCCCGCCATCCCTGTGTGCCCGCCATCCCTGTGTGCCCGCCATCCCTGTGTGCCCGCCATCCCTGTGTGCCCGCCATCCCTGTGTGCCCGCCATCCCTGTGTGCCCGCCATTCCTGTGTGCCCGCCATCCCTGTGTGCCCGCCATCCCTGTGTGCCCGCCATCCCTGTGTGCCCGCCATCCCTGTGTGCCCGCCATCCCTGTGTGCCCGCCATTCCTGTGTGCCCGCCATCCCTGTGTGCCCGCCATCCCTGTGTGCCCGCCATCCCTGTGTGCCCGCCATCCCTGTGTGCCCGCCATCCCTGTGTGCCCGCCATCCCTGTGTGCCCGCGCCCCCAACAGCAAGATAGAGGAGCTGTCCAACTACTTCCCCACCGTATCCCTCACCTTTGATGGCGACTTGGTCTACGAGCTCACGCCTGAGAACTACCTCTTCCGAGTGCGTACATACATGCGCACGCACGCCACTTGTATGCGTGACATGCATCTGTTGTACCTTGGAACGTTTTCAGTTATTTTCTGGTCTTGCTGTGAATCGCTGTCAAGTGAGTATCCTTTGGGTACCTTAGTTGTTTGTCCATGGGTTTAGGTTTGCCTCCGTTTTGCATGCTTTGAAAGATCTTGTTTGTTCGCTGCTCTGCTTGCATGTGCGCCTGTGCTCCCCCCTACCTGCGCTGCAGCATGTGAAGGTGCCAGGATCCTACTGCCTAGGCCTGTTCAAGAACAACGACAGGGGAACACTCATTGGAGGTAGGTCGTTTCTTAGAAATCTCAGAAGCGCCCATTGGAGGTCGGTGTGTTCTCAGTGCCCTTGTGAACTCGTTTTCTTCTCTTCCCCACTCTCCACCCTCTCCCCAGACTCCCACACTAGTTCCCCTCCGTTTTCTTCTCCCCAAAGAAAAAAGTCCAATTTTTTTTTTTTTTTTCGTATGCCTACCTGCGGTTCATAAGGGAGCGGTGCTTCTCAACACTGCCTTCCCCCTACGCTTTCCTTCTCCCCACCCCGCTCCCCACCTCCCTTGGGTCTTCCCTTTCCCACTCTCCCAGGCATTATCATGCGCAACACACTGGTGACATACGACCGAGTGAACAGCCGTATAGGCATGCTCAAGACCAACTGTCGAAACCTGTACCAGGAGCTGCAGCAAATATACACAGAGCAAGGCGCCAATCCCTCCCCTCTCCCCGAGTATCTTCTATCTGAACCGCCCCCCCTGCCGGATTCTGCTCACCAAGGAGCTGGGAGGGGTGGAGATGGTGGGAGCGGAGGGGCAGAGGAAGGCGAGGGGGGTGCAGGAGGAGAGGAGGGAGGAGGAGCGGGTGGGGAGGATGAGGATGCGGATGCGGGTGCTGGTGCAGGTACAGGTGGTGGTGGTGGTGGTGGGGAGAGTTCGTCTGCAGGTGTTCCTGCTGCGCCGTCTGTTGCTTGTGAGTCTCAGTGGGATCTGCATGGGCATGGGGGTGGGGATGGGGATGGGGAGGGGGGGGGTATGGGGGGGGTAGGGGGGGAGATGGGGGGATTTTTGTGACGATGGAGATGGGTGCTGTTGTGCTAAGCATGGGATTATGAGCGGAGCTCTTCCCAATCTCTTGGATGAATCTGCAGCCGCCCTCCACCTGGCTTCGCTAAGCTCTGCTAAGCTCTGCTTAGCTCTGTTAAGCTCTGTTAGGCTCTGTTAGGCTCTGCTAAGCTCTGCTAAGCTCTGTTTCTCTGGTTCTGCTACCAGTCCCCCCCCCTGTACCCGCTCTGTACTTGCCCTCAACCTCCCCCTCCCCCAACTGTCCCTCCCTATCACTCCGATCGCCCCACCCTCACTGCAGAGTCGTGTGACGGCTGCACAGGCAGCATCTTGGCGGAGCTGCTGACCTGCTGGTGGGGCTGCCACTGCTGCTCTCGCCCTTACCCTCCCCTCCCCCCCCGACCACCCTTATCGCCGTGCCTTTACTACAGCATCGTGTGACGGCTGCGCGGGCAGCATTGTCGCGGATCTGCTGGTGGGGCTGCCGCTGCTGCGCTTTGCCCCGCTCGTCAACCCCTTTGTGCACGACCTCTCTCGCGAGCTTGGACTACTGGAGGCGCAGGTACGTTTCCCTTCTAGTATACTCTACAGTCATGTCATGCCGTTTGGCCACCCGTTTGTGCACGACCTCTCACGGGAACTCGGACTACTGGAGGCGCAGGTACGTTTCTCTTCTAGTGTACTCTACAGTCATGCCATGCGGTTTGGGCACCCGTTTGTGCACGACCTCTTGTGGGCGCTGGGGCTTCTTGATGCCCATTCGTCTGATTTTTTAGGCGCCTCAAAAATCAACTCTTGTGGGCGCTGGGCTGCTTGATGCCCATACATCTTTCGCCCTTTCCCCCATTTTTGAGGCGCCTCAATAATCCTCTTGTGGGCGCTGGGGCTGCTTGACTGACACCCATTCATCTTTCGCCCTTTCCACGTTTCCCGTCCCCGCTCACCCCTCCCCGCAGGTGACAGTGGTGAGCTTTCACGAGGGGCAGCAGCAAGGGGGTGCAGCAGGGGGGGCGGATGGGAGTGCCGAGGGGGGTGGAGAGGCAGCAACGGGCGTGGAGAGCACGCGTGTGAATGTGACCATCCTTCCCTCTCCACCCGATATCGTGCTCGCTAAAGACACAGTGCAGGTGCGTGTTGAAGTGGTGCAGAGCGGTGGACTGGTGCAGGTGAGTGGGCTAGGCTTATCTCATGTGGTGCTTGGTGAGGGGGCAATGCAAGTGAGTGTGAGAGAGTGCAAAGGAGTGCAATTCGGTGCAAGTGAGTGCCCCGTATGTGTGTGCCACTTACCTCCGTACTGTTTGTCATCAGTTAATCAGATGTTGCGGATCGCTTGCCCTCCTTTTCCCTTCGCTTCCACCCCACTCACCCACCCCTTCCTCTCCTCTCTCCCTCTCTCTTCCTCACTTCTCGCACACTGCAGCAAATTCTCTAGGTACCTGAAACCATGTCGCATGTGCATGTCCCTATCCTTCTCACACCGTCCCATCTCTCATCCTATATTCACGACTCTCTCTCCCTTTCGCGCCCGCTCCTCTGTGCAGCGAGTGGTGAACGTGCTTCAGAGTCCCATGGCCATCCGGGACGTGTTTGGCTCAGTCGCTCTTCTTGAGGCGCCTAAAAAATGCTCTTCTCACTCTGTCTCTCAACCCGCACTCCCTTCTCTCCCTCCCTTGGCGCCCGCTCCTCTGTGCAGCGAGTGGTGAACGTGCTGCAGAGTCCCATGGCCATCCGGGACGTGTTTGGCTCAGTCACAGTGCTGCGTGTGCAAGTCGTGCTCAGTGCCCCTGATACGTCCAGGTGAGTGCTGAGACATCTGTGTTGAGTTCAGTTCTGTGTTGAGTTCAGTTCTGTGTTGAGTTCAGTTCTGTGTTGAGTTCAGTTCTGTGTTGAGTTCAGTTCTGTGTTGAGACATCTCCAAAGCAGTCACAGTGCTGCGTGTGCAAGTTGTGCTCAGTGCTCCCGATACGACCAGGTGAGAGGCCGCATGGGAGGAATGAAGGCATGGGCGGATGAGAGAGGATGGATGGACGGGTGGATAGATGGGTGCTTGGGTGGAGGGAGGTATGAGGGCTTTGTTGTGTGCACTTTTGCAATGGGAGATTCACTGAGTCGACAAGGAGGGGGCGGAAAGGGGTGGTGAAACTCTGTCTCACATCCTCTTTTCACAAACACCCCCTCTACTACTTTCTTCTTTTGTATTCGCTCCCTTTTCCTACCACTTTTTACTTCCTTCCCCGCTCATCTTCCAACCATCGCAGCTCCCCTTTCGTCTGGGTGGGAGTGGGGGCGCTTGCGCTGGTGCTGCTTCTCCTGCTGCTGCTACTTGGGTGCTACTGCTGCAGAAAGAGATCGGATGGAATCAGTGCAAGGGTGGATGAAGTAGACGAGGAGGAAGGTCTGGCCAGTAACATAGATGGGAAGGGAAATGATGCTGGGAACGGGGGTATGGAAGGGGACGGAGAGGGTGAGAAGGGTGTGAAGGTGGGTGTGTTTGGGAGTGGGAAGGTGCAGGGTGGATCGGGGGAGGAGGCGTCGATGCTGAATGGGGGGGAGCATGGAGAGGATGAGGGGGATGGAGAGGAGGAAGGAGAGAAGGTGACGATTCTGCAGCAGAGGGAGCCTAGTGCCCCTCACTTGTAAAAGTGTTGTTATGACTAGACGGCTTTTCTAGGGAGTTGCTTGTGTTGTTCATGGGGACTTTTGAGTTGCTGGAAGAGCATTGTTATGTGTGTTTGGTGATTCCTGCTTGAGACACATGCAATGCCAACTTGGTTGACTGGTGAGGTGATGCTAGTGATTGGAGCTGGATGTGGAGGGTTGCCTTTAGCCACTTTGATGAGGACTTGCTTTTGAGTCATTTCTTACACATGTTGTAGACAGTAGCCAGTGCACTAGAAGTTATGTTCGTATCGGAACTTGTGTGAAGCGCTATTCTGGAGGTGGCCTTTCAACCAATCAGGCTTCTCCCGCTGCTCTCCCGGCCCACGACACGACGAACTCGGGATCTTCCGTCATTGCCTGCCTCCCCGAACCCCGCGCTTCGCTCCCGCCACACGGCGGTATTCTTTCTTCCTTTCCGCTTCCGCCTGCCACTAGTCGCGCGACCGAACATAAAGTGCAGCAGGCTGACCAAATCGCTTCATCATTCTATCGTGCTGACAGGTTGTCTACTTCGGACTTGCGTCCCGCTTGTTTGAAGGTTTTCAGTAGCCACCCTGACTAGCGCGTCGCTGGATTGGTTCTGTTAGTTGGAATTTCCGCATTGTAGGGAGTGGTTTAGTGAGCCTGCTACTAATTGGACCGCGGATTGAAATATATATTTTTCCATTTTTTTTAGTAGGAGATCGCTTCTCGGGTTTGTTTTCCTCTCCGCCGTCGCGATGAGCGGCGCTGCAAAAAGCGAAAAGCCGAAGCCGACGTTTCGACTGCTGCGAGTGCATCCGCGTACGTATGCCTAGACCACCATGGTCCATTCTTGCGAGGCTCTATAGACTTGGCTTTACCGGGCTTAGCGTCTAGTCCCTGCTCGCTGCTTGCGATTTTTAATCGCCTCTTTCTAACCAGCCAAATGTTCGCACCCGTCAGCACGTGCCGCGGTCTACAATCCCGCGTCGCCTTCTGAATCGTCTTCTAAGCTGCCTCCACGTGTCACTCCATTGGAGCGTCCGCCACTTCTCCAATCACCTCCTCTTCCTCTTCATACCAGCCAGACCTGGCCGCATATTGTCCCTTCCACATCAGGTTATGCATTATGGAATGTATGCGGAATTTATGTGCCCTCTCCCCGCGCCCTTCTTCCCCCATCCTTTCCGCCAGGCCGCAAGGAGATATCCGGGTCCGCGGACATTCTCCGCCAGGCGGGGCTGGAGGGCCCCTACCAGGTGCTATGCGAGCGCGCGCTTGCGCCGTCCGCGGTGGAATCGGGGTGCCTTGCGCGGATCCCCGGGGAGGTGGACATCCGCCAAGGCCCACGGATGGAGCTGGCGGAAGTGCTAGACTCGATCGGCCGCCCCGCGGACGAAGGCGCGGGCGGAATGGGGGGCGCGGGGGGAGCGGGGGGAGCGGGGGAGGGGTTGGCGCTGCTGCAACCGCTAGCAGTGGATATGTTGCTGCGCGCGTTCTCGTTCAGCGACAAAGCGGCGGTCGCTCTACCCGATGTGAGTTGCGGTTGGGTGTGGTGTAGTGCGGTGCATGCTGAGCGGGTGATTGCCTAGGACAATTTAGGCGTACGGCGGGGCATTGAGTGCGCGAGTTGGGCAAGTGGGGAAGGAGCGGAAAGGCAGGGGGCGGAGGTGGGCGGAGGTGGGCGGAGGTGGGCGGAGGTGGGCGGAGGTGGACAGTTTGCTGCTGGATGGGTCGAGGGCAATGCTGGGATGAAGGGGGAGTATGACGGGGATGGGAGCAGAGTTGGTGCCTTGCCTTGCCTTTCCTTCTCTTGCCTTGCCTTGTCTTCAATGGCTGCTTTACTCACAACAACCCACCTCTCCGAGCCATGTTCTTCCCTTGCTGCTCCCGCTGCTTCCCTTGCTGCTCCCTCTGCTTCCCTTCCTCCCTGCGCGTTCCTTGCTCCCTTGTATGCGGTTGGGACTCGTACAGACGGAACGAGGGAAGGCGACAGTGAGTAGCAATTGGCGGGGCGCCAATGGCAGTAGAGGCGCTGGCGGCAAGGAGAGGGAGAGAGAGCGCGAAAGGGACTCTAGTAAACACAGGAGTAAAGACAAGTCGAGAGACGGGGAGAGGCGGCATAAAGAGAAGGATAGGGAGAAGAAGGAGAAGGATAAGAAGGATAAGGAGAAGAAGGAGAGGGAGAGGAGGGAGAGGAAGGAGAGGGAGGAGGCGGAGAGGAGAGAGAAGGAGAAAGCAGAAGGGGTGAGGGTGAAAGGGGATGAGAGGGAGAGGAAGGAGCGGGAAGAGAGGGAGAGGAGGGAGAGAGAAGAACGGGAGAGGAAGGAGAGGGAGGAGAGGGAGGGGAAGGAGAAGGAGGAGAGGGAGCGGAAGGTCCGGGAGGAAAAGGAGAAGGAGCGTGCAAAGGAAAGGGAGAGAGAAAAAGAGAAGGAGAGGGAACGGGAGCGTGAGAGGGTGAGGGAGAAAGAGAGGAAGGAGAAGGATATTGAGAAGATCAGGGAAGCAGGAAAACAGCGAATTGAAAAACCAGTCGAAGGAGCTGGTGCTGCTGCTGCTGCTGGTTCTGGTGCTGGTGCTGGTGCTGGTGGGACTGGTGCTTCTGCTGCTGCTGGGGCTGCTGCTGGTGTCGCTGCTGGTGGCGCGAGTGCTGCTGCTGCTGCTGGCGGCGGCGCAGTGCCGGCAGCAGGAGCAGCAGGAGGAGGGGAAGGCGTGGATCCGAAGAAGCTGAAAAAGAAGGTCAGTATTCCATTCACTGCCATGCACTGCCATGCCATCCGTGCCACCCATGCCGTGCCGCCCGCGCCATGCCGCCCATGCCATGCCGCCCATGCCATGCCACCCATGCCACAGTCCGTGCCACGTGTGTGATATGAAAAACCTGTCTTCAACTCTCGTGGTGGTTGGCTCAATAATCACCCCTCGTCCATCACTCTCACCCCTCGTCCATCACTCTCACCCCTCGTCCATCACTCTCACCCCTCGTCCATCACTCTCACCCCTCGTCCATCACTCTCACCCCTCGTCCATCACTCTCACCCCTCGTCCATCACTCTCACCCCTCGTCCATCACTCTCACCCCTCGTCCATCACTCTCACCCCTCGTCCATCACTCTCACCCCTCGTCCATCACTCTCACCCCTCGTCCATCACTCTCACCCCTCGTCCATCACTCTCACCCCTCGTCCATCACTCTCACCCCTCGTCCATCACTCTCACCCCTCGTCCATCACTCTCACCCCTCGTCCATCACTCTCACCCCTCGTCCATCACTCTCACCCCTCGTCCATCACTCTCACCCCTCGTCCATCACTCTCACCCCTCGTCCATCACTCTCACCCCTCGTCCATCACTCTCACCCCTCGTCCATCACTCTCACCCCTCGTCCATCACTCTCACCCCTCGTCCATCACTCTCACCCCTCGTCCATCACTCTCACCCCTCGTCCATCACTCTCACCCCTCGTCCATCACTCTCACCCCTCGTCCATCACTCTCACCCCTCGTCCATCACTCTCACCCCTCGTCCATCACTCTCACCCCTCGTCCATCACTCTCACCCCTCGTCCATCACTCTCACCCCTCGTCCATCACTCTCACCCCTCGTCCATCACTCTCACCCCTCGTCCATCACTCTCACCCCTCGTCCATCACTCTCACCCCTCGTCCATCACTCTCACCCCTCGTCCATCACTCTCACCCCTCGTCCATCACTCTCACCCCTCGTCCATCACTCTCACCCCTCGTCCATCACTCTCACCCCTCGTCCATCACTCTCACCCCTCGTCCATCACTCTCACCCCTCGTCCATCACTCTCACCCCTCGTCCATCACTCTCACCCCTCGTCCATCACTCTCACCCCTCGTCCATCACTCTCACCCCTCGTCCATCACTCTCACCCCTCGTCCATCACTCTCACCCCTCGTCCATCACTCTCACCCCTCGTCCATCACTCTCACCCCTCGTCCATCACTCTCACCCCTCGTCCATCACTCTCACCCCTCGTCCATCACTCTCACCCCTCGTCCATCACTCTCACCCCTCGTCCATCACTCTCACCCCTCGTCCATCACTCTCACCCCTCGTCCATCACTCTCACCCCTCGTCCATCACTCTCACCCCTCGTCCATCACTCTCACCCCTCGTCCATCACTCTCACCCCTCGTCCATCACTCTCACCCCTCGTCCATCACTCTCACCCCTCGTCCATCACTCTCACCCATCGTTCTCACTCTCAGGCCTCCAACCATCCCATCCCATCAATTTCAGACGAGTGCGTCTGTGCATGTGATTTTGTAGTTGACTCAAAGTTCTCCATGCTGCATTTATGAGCATTTTACGCCCCCCCCCCTCATGTTTCCGCCTCAAAGGTCCCGATTGGCTCTAAGTCCTGTGCCTGTCGAGTCAGCCACTCTCTGTGCTGCATTGCATGCTCGCACTTTCCACTTGGTTTGCTGCCCGGCACTTCCCCCCTCATTCTCCTCCCTCCGCCCTCCTTCCCCGTCCCCCCCAATCGGCCCTCCTTCTGCCGTCCTCCATTTGCCCCCCTCGGCCCACTCTCGTCCGTCCCTCCTCGTCCGCCTCCCCCGTGTCTTACCACTTTCATCTGCTCACATGTGTACGCACAGAAGAGGAAGAGGGATGGAGAGCCGGAGAAGCCGAGCTCAGACAAGAAGCACAAGAAGAAGGTGAGGCGCGGTGAAAGGGGGTGAGGAGGGGTGGAGCAGGGTTGGGACGGGTGAAGGAGGTTTAGGAGGGGTGTGCCAAAGTGAAAAGGGCTGGAGTACGGTTAGCAGCCTTATGTGATGACACTGCGGTGATCCTTCCTCACTTGTCCACACACTCTTGTGTCCGCACCGCATTACCTCCCCAGCTTACTTTTTTCTCCCCTCATTCTCCCCACACGCCCCCTGTATTCTCTCCATATGCTCCCCATTTACTTCCCACATGCTTACACTGTGCTTGAATTTGTGCTCCCCTTGAGCTCCTTTCTGCTCTCATAATGCTTACCCGCCAGCACGCATCCTTCCCTGTAAAACAGCTCCACCCCCCACATCCTCCTCCTGCCTCGTGCGCCTCATGCTTTTCAAGCTCTTACATCTCTCCATCCTTCCATCTTCATACACTCGTCCTTGCATTGACCAAATGTCTGTCTGTTGGTTTCGATTGCTGTGTTTCCTGTTTTTCATGTTGTGTGTGTGTGTGTGTGTGTGTGTGTGTGTGTGTGTGTGTGTGTGTGTGTGTGTGTGTGTGTGTGTGTGTGTGTGTTACTGCATCGTGTGTGCGACGTGACTATGTGGCGCACTGTGTGCACAAGTGTACGCTACTGTGTGTGTGATTGTGTGTGATTATGTGACCAATGACTATGACTGTGTGACTGTGTGGCCATTCGTGATTGTGTGTGGTATGTGAGTGTATGTGAGCATGTGTGACCATGTGAATATGTGTGACCGTGTGAATATTTGTGACCATGTGAATACGTGTGACTGTGTGACCATGTGTTGATGTGTGCATCGTTGCAAGAGCAGAAGGACAAGCATAGCAGCGGAGGAGGCAAAGAGGCAGCACCAGTGGCAGCGGTGCAAGAGAATGGCACATAGGCATGTACATGGTGAGTGGATGTAGGGTCAGTGAGTGATTTTTTAGTCGACTCAGAAGTCAGCTGTGGGGCAAGGAATCAGCACCAGTGGCAGCGGTGCAGGAGAATGACACATAGGCATGTAAATGGTGAGTAGATGATCGTTTTAGGCGCCTCAAAAACAGCACTGGTGGTGGCAGCGGTGCAGGAGAATGGCACATAGGCATGTAAATGGTGAGTGGATGAAGGGGCAGTGGTTGAGTGGTATGTGGATGGATAGTGGTTAAGATGCTGGTGAGTAGAGGAATGCAGGGTGGGTGGAGAGACTGGCACCGCCAAGCAGCATAACCATCATATTCATCAATATTCTCGCCAACACCGTAGTCACCACAACCACATGACCATCATCACCATCACCATCACCTTTTTCCCACCAACCTATGGCAGGGAGAGCGAGCCACTTACGACCCTGTCTTCCTCTCCAGTTTCTGCAAGTGGTCCTTGTCTCGCATGCTAACCGCCGTCCTGCCTCACATTACATGGTGAAGAATTACCTCCAGGTTACCAGCCAACAGCACATTCTAGTTTGTAAGGTAGGAGTATGGTGACAGCTACGATATCTCCCTCGGAAAGCGGCATTACATGGATGTTAATGATATTGCCTTCTTTAGCAGCAGTGTAGATTCTCTCCAGCATGCGGGGTTGTTACTGCAAGTCGGGCAAGGCAATTTGGACCCTGGACTTGTATGACACTGATTTATGTGACCCGTCACTACTGAAAGGAACATGCTAAGAGAAAAACTGGTGCAACCTTTTCTCAGGAATCCTGCCAGTGTACTTAGTAGTTTTTTTTCCTGTGATGTGAACTTTGTGAAGTTACGGTACAAGTGCAGTAGTATTGTCTGAGATGTATTGTCGATCGATCTCGCTGTAAGCTCTTCTGAAAACGAACGAGTCATTACAGAAACCATGAGCCCCTGCCCACGTGACCTCAGCGAATGAAAATCAGTTATGAATCTGCCCGAACAGAACCACATGAGCTGTGAACCGAGTTTTCCGAATCCTGCCGGGCTGACAGTTGGATCAGTACACCTCATGCCCGTTTGAGCTTCCCCTATTTGGGTTTTTTTTAGCGCTTATAAATGTTTTGGTGATTGCGCCCTGTTCGTTCCATTTCGCCAGGGTGTTGAGATGCTTCTAAAAAACACAGGTTGTGACTCGTTTGTTTTTTCCAAAACAGTTCTGGTGGGCCTGTGTTGTTGTTAGTCCAGGGTTTAGGGTTTATGCTTGTTTCTGGCCAAGAAACAAGAACAAACCGGGTCAGCATGGTTTGTTTTGCGCCTAAGATTAATACTTAGGCGTTTTCTCGCCCAAATACAAGTTGATACGCGTGCCTATAACCTGGGTGCAACTGACTTAGAAAAAAAAACACGGGTGCAGAGTTTCTGAAATGTGTAAGGCAAATTCGCGTGCAGTAGCTGGGCATCATGTGTACAGCAGTAGATTCTCGTCTTTGGAAACTGCCCTCGTGTATTGTGCCACAATTTGCACATTGCTGCAGGTCAAGCTGCAGTCGCCAGCAGTCGTCGTCTACAGAATCGTTCTAGACGACGTCGCATCGCATGTCGCGATGGAGAAGGTAAGGTATGTGGTTCGTTCACCGGGCGTGGTGGGCCGGTACGGTGGTGCCAGTGACGGCAAGGGCAACTGCTATCCTTCCAAACCGGGGAATTTTTTGAATCCCTGGAGCTTAATCAGTGACGACGGCGGCAACCGGGAATGGAAATGGCGCCATGCCCGCCATTTCCAAATCGACATGACGTGTCGCTGGCAAGGCTGGTGGGTGGCAGCGCATTTCAGGAAACAGCAAGCCAGAAATCACGCGACGCTGTGTTCGTCTAGAAATGTAACCTCGTGGGGTGGAACGCTAGCGAGCGAGTCGTATGTAGTTACCATAACTGTCGACAGCCCACTCGCTGCATTTTGCGAGTCGATGCGACTACCCACCGACTGTTCGTCTTCCTATCTGCGACACCTGAGACGACCTCCTTGCAGTTATGCGACTCATTTTGGTCACGTCAACCAGCCACGTGCTTGCCTGCCGCCCAGTTTTGTCCTTTGCATTCGAAAAACGACACGCTAGTCAAATGGCATTGCAACCGCCTCAGCTACATTGGCATATGTTGGGAATGGGGTGGCTTCTGATTGTACTCGTCGAAACACCTTCCAGTGGACAAGCATATTCTTCTGGCCGGGCAAGCATGTTTTCATAATGCATCTTTCATGCAAGGGAACATACACAGGATAGAGGGTATGCCCATCACCACAATTAGCGAGATTCGACCCAACTACCAGATTGGAGCACACCCAAATAAAAGTATATCGCGGAGACGGATCGCGTCACAACGACCCACCTGTCCGTTGTCACCCCATTCGTTTCTCCTCCGCAACATCCGCTGCTTGTTCCCTTCCCTAACCTCATCTTCGCCTCCTCTCACCCTCTCAATTCCCGTCCCGCCCTTCACCCCCTCTCAAGAAGCATCGTGTCGCGTCTGCTCAAATGAAATGTCTTCGCATCTCTCATGATCTCATCCCACACCTACACCCGCACACACACATCCCCCCTCCCCAGCACACGCGCACACCCACCCAAAAACGCGTCACACAACAGCCCATCCCATCCAACAATGCCCCCATCTCATTCCTACACAACACATCGAATTTCCCTCTTTCCAGTCGTCGTGCGTGAATCGTCCCACGAGCAAATGTGATGTAATCAGCCCCCACCCATGCCTCACGCTCTTCGCTCCCCAGTCTCCACTCAACCATACTCGTCACCCAAACAGCCAAACATGTGCGTTTTATCTCAGTCCATCTTTATTACTTCTTATCCAAATTCGTCCTCAGCCATGACAACCTCCTCCCATACGCCAAGGGTTTGATTGACCAGCCGCTCATGACAGAGACGGGACCGCAACCACCTTTATCCATAAGACTCTCCTTGTCTGTTTTTCTACCTCGTCGAGCTGATTCAGAAATCCAGTCTGTATTCAGAGAGTCCGAACTGCATCCGCACTTCCGTCCTCACTCTTGGTCCTCTTCCCTCCCCAATCCCGAGTCGCGCACGCACGCCAAAACGCTACACTCTCCCGAGAACGCGGATGGAGCACGTTCCGCCGCGCGCGTGTGAGCCAGCACGACCCACGCTACGACCTTAAAACGCTCCAACGGTTCTTTCGACCCTTGAGCTAACCTCGCAGTTCATCTGACTTGAAATCAGCTCTACTACTATCACCTTCGTCGAGCCCCATTCCCATTTTTGAGGCGCCTCAAAAGGCGTCGCATCCTCATTCTGGAAATAGACTCTTCAAAGCTCTCGTGCGCCGCTGGAGTGCAGACGCAGCCGCACTTGCCGTACTATATCGCGTGGTCCTTCTCCCGTGTTTTAGCTCCTTCAGCGCTTATCAGCAGTAGTACCCATTGGTAGTAGGCGCGGCATTGATACTCATCATCTTAGCGACATTACTGCTGGTGTGATATCTGCAGTGATATTTTTCTTTCCGGAGCTCACCAACAAACCTCTATCGCGCATCATCCATCGCACGCGCCTGTCGCAACAAAACGCTCTGCGACCGCCTCTGTGCGACCATCAGCTCTGCGAGTCGCCGCAGACCCGCGGAGGGAACCGCTCGTCGAAACGGACGGTCACGATGTTTTCTTCCTCTGACGGACCGCTCTTTCCTTCTCCGCCGCCTCTCGTCGGTTTCTATCCGCCGCAAATGCCGCCGCACGTGTCGCAACGTGGGGGGAATCCTGCCGCGTCCGGCGGAGGCCAGCTCCCGTTCCACCCGCCGTTCGACACGCCGTACGACGCGGTGTATGATCCGGCGTACGATGCTGCGTACGACGCGGCGTATGACGTGGCGTACGATGCGGCGCCGTACGAGGAAATGATGGCGATGGTTCCGATGATGGTCAACGCGCCTCCTTCTCCTCCAGCTGTTTCCTTCTACGAAGCAACGCCTGTAACGGCAGGCTATCAAAGGAAGGGGCATCGGCAGCACCAGCAGCAGCAGCAGCATCACCAGCCGTACTTTCATCATTCTCACCACCCGTTGCCTCATCCGCCGCACTTTGCGCCGAATATTCCGCCACCTTACATCCACCACGGCTCTATGATGATGCCGCGCCCGCCGCCGTCGCACTCGGCTGCGTTTGCGGCGGCAGGGCGCGGAGGAAACGACGGCTCCCGCGGCATGATGCACGCACCGCCACCCCCGCATATCCCGGGCGCTCTCTGCGACTATGAGGACCCTAGCTACTATTCCACGCTATATTTCCGGCCCGAGGTGCAGGTGGTGGTGCTGACGTCAAGAATCAAGGCAGGTGCTGTCGTGAGCATGGGTACATGGCTCCCGCGTAAAATGACTTTCTATGTGTGAATCTGTGAATGATTAATCGTAATAATCTCATACGGTATACTTAAGGCTTGATACCTTGCGAGTGTCCTGTGCGCGCAATCTGAAAATCTCTAACCCCTTCCCCTCCCGCTTCCGCTCTCCTTAACCTTCCCCGCCCCCCCCTTCCTTTCCGCCGCCCCTCTCCCACTCCAGGACAAGGTATCCCCGTTAGAGAAGACCCGCTGGTTGGACCAGCACCTGTCGTACCGCATCTGTCCCTACCCCATACGCCATATCGAGTTCACTCATGCCGGGGACGCAGGTGCGTGCAATGCCTGTGAGGGGCGGAACTTGTGGAGCGGGTCGGGTGCAAGGGAAAAAAGCGAGAGAGTGCGAGGGAGGGTGAGAGGAAGATGATGAAGGGGAGGGGAGTGGTATGCAGTCACGCTATGTGCCATGTTGCCCCACTTCCTGGTTCTATTCCTCCTTACTTACCATGTCCCTGGCGCTGTTCCCTCCCTCTCTCTCTCTCGAATGGTCCTGGTATTGATTGATGGGAGATACATGGGAAGATGCAAACACATGCAAACCCAGACATAACACTCGGTCTACCTAACTACCTCATTCCCTTACTCCCTCCCGCCCCCTCCGTCCGACCCTAAAGGTCGAACGAGGGCTCTATTAGCTGGTAGAGCTGGCCTTCGCTAAGGGGGGCAAAGGGGCCCCGCATGCCGAGCTCGTCCGCTGCTATCGCCTCGTTGGTCTTGCAGCGGAGGGCGTTGGCTTGTGCTTTTTGGAGGCACACACTCCAGCGCTGGCGGTATTCCGTCAGCAGCTTGGCGGCCTCGTAGGAGTTGGGGGCTGCGTTGAATCGCAACTTGGCCGCCAGCTCCGCGCACTGCCGCAAGAATGCCAACACCACGGGCGAGGGGTTACCCATATGTCTCTACCGCTAGGGCATGAAAGCCCACCCACGCATTTTGGCGCGCGTATTTCTGCTCCTTCTTGTCCGCAGCTGCCCTAGCCGCCCACCCCGGTGCTCTATTACAGTTCTCATCTTGGTGAGAAACGGGGTCCGTCACTGTCACGTCGCACATCCAAACCTCTCCCGTCCGGGGATGGCGGATTGCGACGTCCGCCTTCAGGTTTTCAACGCGAGAGAATACATAGGTTTCTTTGTGCACCGTGAATCCCGCCTCTGCCGCCATCAAAGCAATCTCGTCCCTGAGCGCATGGTGAGTCGCAATCCTTCCCCCCCCTTTCTCGCAGCGCATGAGATGGTTTGGGAGGCGGTCATCAGGGAATTTGGTGCGGTAGCGGCAGTCTCAGCGCCTGGGGACAGGTAGGGGGAGGCCCAGGCGGAACGCAGCAGCGGAGGAGAGCTGGGAGGGTCCCATCCTAAGCGAGGGTATGATGGGTAGTGCCAGCAGCCAATCTCCCGCACCAGGGCCGAGCACCGACTGCATTCTCTGGGCATGGCCAGAGAGGGGGTTGGGGTGCATCCGCCTTGCCTCGATCATGACCCTCAGGAAGCGGCGTGTCTGAACCGCCAGCGCTAGAGACTGCTGCAGCTTGAGGCCCTGTGGGTCTGCTCTCTCTCTCTCTCTCTCTCTCTCTCTCTCTCTCTCTCTCTCTCTCTCTCTCTCTCTCTCTCTCTCTCTCTCTCTCTCTCTCTCTCTCTCTCTCGTCCGTCCCACCTTTCCTGTACATCATTCGCCGCACCCCCAACTCCCTCCCTCCAGTCATTGAGTTCGTGTCGCACGTGGCGATGATGAAAGCTCTCCAACGCGCGCCCTTGCACTGGGACTCCCCGTCTGCTTCCGCTGCTGCTGCTACTTCTGCTACTGCTGCTGTCGGGGCTGCCGATTCTGTTGCTGGTGGTGCTGCTGGTGTCGCTGCTGGTGCTCCTGCTGGCAGCAAGAGCGGGTGGCAAGCCTACCTGGAGACATTACCAGCACCCACTCCTTTGGCAGCAGCAGCAGCAGCAGCAGCAGCACCGACAACAGCAACACCTGCAACACTGTTCCCAGCACCCGCAACTGGAGCAGCAGCAGGGAGGCGAGGCAGGCAGGTGGTGGCAGTGCGGGCGTGCACGGAGGACGATATCCGGGCGCTCTTCTGGGTGGGGCTCTCCTTACCCTCTGTCCTCCCGCTCTCCGACGCCCTACCAATGATCAAGCAGGTGATTGCACGCAGACCACGCGTAACAGCCACTGCTGATACTGGTGATGCCGCTGCTGTTGCCGCTGCTGCCGCTGCTGGTGCTGCCGCTTCTGGTGTCGTTAGTGCTGCTCTGCCATTAACAAGCACTGGCCTCTGTCTAAAGGACATGCTCTGTTTAAAAGCCGTCCTGTTCTCTGTGCCTTTTTTTTTTTACAGTTTCTTACTGTCTCACCTTCTAATTACCAACCCCAATCTCACCTGCTCTCCTCCTCACTTCCCCCTCTTCCCTCCACCCTTGTCACCCTCTTCAGGCCCTACAGCCATACGGTGAGGTGAGAGGTGTGTACTCACCTCACCCCAGCTCTCTTGAGTTTGAAAAAATGCATGGTGGGGGACAGCAAGCACAGCAGGTGCCGCAGGGGAAAGAGGAGCAGCAGGAGACAGAGAAACAGCTCGGGAGCAAGGAGGAGGTGTTGGAGGAGGAGGATGAGGATGAAGAGGAGGAGGGGAAGGAGACTGACAAGGAGACATGTGACAGCAGCAGCACTAGCAGCAGCATGAGCAGCAGCAGCAGCAGTGGCGGCGGCAATATCATCACCAACAGCAGCAGCAGAAGCAGCAGCAGCAGCAGCAGTGGTGATTGCGACAGCAGCAGCGACGACAGCAATGACGAGGGAGAGAGCAACGACGCACAAAGGATGGGCAACTCTGGGAGAAACAAGAACCAGAGTCCCAGTTCCTTTCCTGCCAGAAGCGCCTCTTCCTCCCCATCCTCCCCATCCTCCCCAACCTCCCCAACCTCCCCACCATCCCCACCCTCCTCCCCACCCCGTACTCCACCGCCGGCCGCCTCTCCTTCCTCGTTTCCCCCTGCTGTTCTGCCGTTCTCTGTCTCCTCCTCCGTGCGTCTCCCCACTGGCTGCATGCTGAAGCTTTACTTCGCCCCCTCCGGTCGCCGTCACTTGCCTCCGACCCTGCACATCGGCAAGCACGACAGGTGAGCTCGACGCGTCTTTCCCCTCTGCTTCTCTGCCTGTCGCCTCCTCCATCCGTCTCCCCCCTGACTGCTTCTCTGTTAAGGCTCTACTTCGCCCCCTCCGGTCGCCGTCACTTGCCTCCGACCCTGCACATTGGCAAGCACGACAGGTGATAGCTCGACCCATGAGATTGACGAGATTGGCTGGGGCCCTGGTTTCTCAATGCCCTACTGTGCCCAACTGGTTTGTCAGAGTTCCACACTTCCGCCTTCCCCCACTGTGCCCGCCCGTCCTTCCCTTCCCCAGTGATTCATACCTGAGCTATTCTCATTCCCTCGTGCCCCTCCTCACCATCCCTCTTCAACCCTCTTCCGACAACCCCCTCCCCTTCCCTCTCCCCCCAGGCGCAACAAGGCCCGCGCACCTCTCATTGCGCGTCTATTCACCCCCCACGGCCCTCTCTCTGTGACCTGTGCTGACTTTGGCCCCAACCACTCTATCCACGGGTGCCCTGCGTGCGACATGCACCAGCAGCAGCACCAGCAACATCACGCGTGCGGCGCTTTTAATGACTACTGGGAATCGTAACGAACGACTTGGATCCAGGGTCGGTCGAGGCATGGCAATCGAAGGACATCCCATACAAGCAGATGGCACATGCTATGGATGATGAGCACATGAGCGAACAAACATGTGAGAATATGCGAGCATGTGACAGTGTGAGCTGGAGTGAGAATGTGCAGATGCTCTCGTGCTCGCTCGCTCGCTTTCTTCCTTACCTTACGCCCTCCCAAGCGGCCTTACCGGGCTATCTGAAGTGGAAGGCAACACGGGTAACCTGCCCGCCATGTCATGTAGATGCGGCGAGAGGTATGGTAAAAATAAGACTGAATAAGGCAGTGGCGCGTGCTGTTCCCTAGCTTGGCTCGAGGTGGCAGGGATTCCATATGAGTGCGTGGTGTGTAAGTGTAGAAGAATTTCCCGTGGCCAATTACTACCAGTAGTTTGTAGCTAGTTTTGAAAGATGCCTGTTAGTAGTGCAGAGCTGGCAGCAGTAGGCTATACCTATGTTCTAGTTCCAGTTACGGTAGGCAGGTACGGTAGATGCTAGAGGGTTATGTTCATATTTCAGTGTGAATATGTCTGGCGCTATGCTATATTTAGGATTTAGGATGGTACTGTATATACTAAATAAATATTATAATTTTTAAACACACATGTAGTGTTTTTTAAAATTGTGTATTGTGAAAGCGAAGCTGCTTGTACTGCACAATTGGCATCGTCGAAGCGCGCTAAACGCCCTTCTCCAACTACAAAAACCGTGGGTTGGAGCTCATTTCCCTCCACCCACGTTTCTCAATTTTCAAACGGCTCACTCAACATTCCCACCACCCACCCCAGTGTAAACCGCCTTGCTAATGCCACTTGGATAGGGTACATAATAGCTAGTGTTATTAGTCCGCACTAGCTTATGTCGAACGATGATGCAAATGTTGTAAGTACCCATTTGTAATGAGAACGATGCCAATTGATAAGAAAGAAAGCAAGCTTTCTCAATATGTTATGAAATGAAGCCCAACGTAACGAGTACGAATATTGCTTAGCACAAATTGGGGATTATGCGCAATGCAACCACAATCCCGAAACCGCATTTCAACAAGACATGCGCATGAAACAAACCACCTGCAGAGATCGCAAATCCAACACCAAAAGCCACAGGGAGAGCACTACCATGCAATACATGTACTTACAAAATGTAGTCACCCAATCCCTCCCCACCCCCCACAACCCCTCACACACCAGCACACCAGCACACCTCACCAACCAACAAATTGCATTAACACTTGACAAACCAACTGCAGCAAGGCGTTGCAGCCCACCCACCCGCCCTTCCACCCACCCATCTAGGCAACCCCAGCATTGAAAAGAAAACAAGGGCTTTCCGAGGAGCCTCTAAAATCAGACTCCCACCGACCTCTCCCCTGTCTCCTCACTGATCAAACAGCTGTTTCTTTGCGAGGCCCGCCTCGTTTCTTCTTCTATCGCTTAAGCACCGTATAAGAGCAAGGCTCCTGCTTAAGCCTCCCCGGCCTCGCAGATAAAGAAGAGTGCAGCCACTGGGGCTCCCAGGGCATGGTCCGAGGCAAACTGTGCTGCATGGAAGTTAGCCCTCTCCTCCGGTGCTGAGACCTGATGGGAGGGAGGAGGGAGGAGGTAGGGAGAGCGGATTGGGGGGAGGGAGAGGGATGAGTGGGAGGAGAAAAAGTGCAGCCACTGGGGCTCCCAGGCCATGGTCCGCTGCGAACTGTGCAGCGTGGGAGTTAGCTCACTCCTCCGGTGCTGAGACCTGATGGGAGGGAGGAGGGGTGGGGCAGCCCCTTCTTGCGTCGCCTTGAAAATACTCTCCATAGGGGTGGGGCAGCCCCGTCACCCCTATCACTCCCCAAAACCCCGCACGCCCCTCAAGCCACACACCCACCCTGCGCACACTCCCCTCCCCTCCTCACGCCCATGACGGCACTGACCTCGGGCTGTGCGGTGGGCTGCCTGAAGAGCAGGAAGATGTAGCGGTGCGCGCCCTCTGGGGGGGTGGGGCAGCCCCGTCACCCCTATCACTCCCCAAACCCCCGCACCCCCTCACGCCCCACACCCACCCCTCCCTCACGCCCATGACGGCACTGACCTCAAGCTGTGCGGCGGGCTGCCTGAAGAGCAGGAAGATGTAGCGGTGAGCGCCCTCTGGGGGAGTGGGACCGTTGTACGGCGTTACCACACGGCCTGGAAGAGGGGGGAGGATGCGGGGGGGGGAGGGACGAGGGCAGAGGGGCGAGTGGCGAGGGGCGAGGGGGGAAGGGGGAGGGAGGAGGGAAGAAGGGCAAGCGGGGGGTTGAGGGGGTGGGGCCGTTGTACGGCGTTACCACACGGCCTGGAAGAGGAGGAAGGATACGGGGGGGAAGGGACGAGGGCAGAGGGGCGAGGGGCGAGGGAAGAGGGAAGAGAGAAGAGGGGCGAGGGAAGAGGGGCGAGGGACGAAGGGAGGGGGGATGAGGGTACGAGGGGATGGGGAAGGGGGGGCGCGGAGAAGGTGTGCGCAGGGAAGTCACGTGAAAAAAGGAGTGTTTTGAGACGTCTCAAAACACTCCTTTTTTCACGGAGAAGGTGTGCGCAGGGAAGAGTGGAAGTGGGGGAGATGGTGCGAGAGGGCGAGAGAGGAGGAAGGACAGAGGAGGAGAGAGTGAGAGGACGGGGGGAGGGGGGGCAAAAGAGGGGTGGAAAGAGGAGGAAGAAGGACGAGGAGCATTGTGGAAGATAGGTGGGAGGCGGGAGGGTGCGAGGTGGGATCGAAGGTTGAGAATGTGAAGGTGCGAGTGTGGAGGGCGGAGGGGGGGGCTGAGGGGTGGATGCAAAAAAGCGAGATATACTTGCAACACGAGGAGAGGTTATGCTTGTAAAAGAGCGGAAAAGGGTCAGGTAAACGGGTATGTTTGGTGTGTGCTTGCACGAGCGCACACTAATGCTTGCACGAGCGCACACTAATGCTTGCACGAGCGCACACTAATGCTTGCACGAGCGCACACTAATGCTTGCACGAGCGCACACTAATGCTTGCACGCACCTGTACCCCCACTGCCGTCGACGGGAATGTCCACAACGATCCTGATGGTGGTGCAACGGAACGGCGGAGAGACATGGCATAGGATACATGACATAGGATGGAATAGCAAAGGATGGCATGGAATAGGATGGCATGGCGCATAGGATGGCATGGCATAGGATAGCATACCACGGCATGGAATCGGAAGGCATGGTATGGCATCATGACACATGGCACAGCAAGGTCGGTGATATTGCCCTGGCTAACATGTCAAATTAATATCCCAGCCCAAACGGCCAACCGCCAAGCTGCGCGACACGGCCGGGCGTCAAGTTGTGCGGTCACCTGGCAAGAAGCACGCCCCACTCACCAGTGCAGCCACTCGCGCGCGGTCGGATTGGAGGGGCTGGGCGCGTCAGGGTCCACGAGCACCTGCATGGCGCACGCGGCGGGCGGAAAGGCCGGGGTGGGCGGAGATGCGCGGTGGGCAGAGGTGAGAGGCGGGCGGAAATGCGCGGTGGGCGGAGCGCGCACGAGAAGCAGACGCCTCACGGATATTCCGCTTTTGATAAAGATTTTTTTTTGCCAGTGCACGCAGCAGGTCGCAGGGATAGCGAAACTATCACGAAACTAGAGAAAGCGGTCGTAATGATTAGCAACAGGCACCAAAACCTAACAAGCATAGGTGCGGAACACTTTTTTTTTTTTTTCCGGTTAGTTAAGCCCATAAAACAAGAAAACGGCGAATGGAGATTTGACTCACAAGGGTGTAATGGCTGCTCGGATCAAGCTCCGTGTTGGGACGCGCCGAGATCAACACAGCCGGCTGCACGGCGCCTTCCGACTGAGATACCCGCACGCCGTCTAGAAGCTGCCGGCCGCTGAACGACACGACCAAATCCACCTCCTGTTTAAACGGCTCCACGACATCGCGCAGCGCGTTCGCTAGCTCGCCGGAAAGAGCGCCGCCATTCCCGCTGGACGCTGCGGAGGTGGAGGCGAAGATGAGAAGCGCTCCGAGCAGAACGACGCCGACAATTGCGGCACCCATGAGGATGGTGCGACGGTTGCGCGGATCGCGGAGATAGCCGAGCGGACGGCGATTGGACTCGTCCAAAGAGAGCGCGGCCCAGTCGGACATGGGGAGACGATTGCGCGGGCGAGCGCGAACGGAGTGACCAACAGAATCCGTCTTTGATTTAGAGCCTCCAAGACCTGACGCCAGCGTTCTAGGATCTGATTCTAGAAATCTCGGAGGGGCGCAGAAAGAAAATCCGAAACAGCAAGAATGGGCAGGTGGGGTTAGATGAAATGCTTTGGGAGTCAAACGATGGAGTTGAAGGCGCTGTTCTCACTGTGCCTAAGGGAGCATTCGTAGCCCGTGTCAGACTTGAGGTCAGACCCGAAGTGGAGGCTCGGAAGACCCGAAGTAGCTCGTTCGTGAGGCAAATCCGAGTTCGGATGAGCCAAATTGGAGACTAAGGGCTTTTGACCTGAAGTCTGACACGGGCCACGAATCCACCCTAAGCTTCACGAGAATATACAGGTGTTATTGTGTTTTGCTAAGTCAGACTTCTCAAAGAGAGGAGCAAGGAAATAAGTCAAGCATATGTCTGGGTGTATTGATCTCGTAAACAACTTTTCATGCTGTCACTACAGCAAGGCCAAGTTGGCTTGCTTACCCAGCGCCACACAAATCAGATCACAAAACAAGCCATATTTTTGTTTTTTTCATACAGAGCAATCATTCCACTATCAGAATAAAAACATGACAAACAGAGGTCCATGTAGAACTATACAGCGGCAGACAACCCATACTTGGTGTTGAATCATTGAGCTGCAGCAGAAGCCAGTGAGAGGATGGCTGAGGCAACAGGCAGAGCCAGTGAAGGGATCTTATTGAGCTGAGACTTTTGCGTCCCCATGCAGGAAGCCGGCAGAAGCTGGGCCACCTGCAGCAACAGCAGATGAACCTCTGGCAAACGTGGTATTGGCTTCAGCAACAGCTGACGTGATGGGGTGAAATGCAGATGGGTGATGAAATGAAGGAGTTCCACTGGGATGGAAGGATGGAGCACTGTGGTGAAACGCAGGTGAAGGAGCGGTTAGGCCGTTGACGCCACCAAACTGGAAAAATCCATGAGGGTTACTTAATCCAAAATCAAAGCCATGCATTTGAAGCTGCTGCTGTTGCTGCTGATCACCATGCTGAGTTTGCACATTATTGGGATTGGCCACAGTAGAGCTGTTCTCTGCATGATTAGCTTCTCCAACAGTCGTGCCCTCAGCAGTTTGCAAACCAGTTCCATTGGTGTTGTGAGCAGCCGCGACTAACTGAAGAACATTGTCCGACCCCTTGCCAGTGTCCGATCCTGGCTCTTCTTCACTGCTGGCTGAAACCCTATGGGCATCACCCTCACTGCCAGGATTTCCAGTCGTTCCCCCGTTCTGCTCTTGGTCCACCTTTTTATCTTCACCATTTCCCGGCTGCTCTCCTGATCCTTGACCTGACAGTGCCTGTGCCTTTGCAGCTTCCTCGAGCTGCTTAGTGTTGAGAAAGCGTCCACCACAACCTCTGGCCCGTCGAAGTGCATGCTTGTGTCGAGACTCATGCAAGTAAGGCTGCGCAGACAAGCCAGAGAATAAGTAGCGGGCATACGCTGAGAAAATAAGGGGGGAAGAAGGCGCGGACTAACCATAACCGAAGCTTACTTTTCGAGCCTTCACCAGACGATTTTCGGCTTCTGCTTTAGCACGGGCTTGACGGCGACGCAAAATACCGTGGTACTGCTTTGCGTTGACATAAACAGGCTCCTCTTCCACAATTTCGGACGGTAATGGCATTCGTGTCTGTTGCTGTAATCCCACTAGTGGAGCCATCTGATGACAAATAGAGAAGATTGAAATACTCAGCAGGCCAGATACAAACACAAAGGAGGTAAGCTTCATATTATTTTGGAACGAAAACTCTTACCAGTGCCTGAGAGCCAAAAGCGACAATGTTGCCGTAATAAGGGTCCGTAGTGTAAGGGTAAGCTACATGTTGAGCCGCCTACAAATATGATCAGGAGAGAGCAGGGGAAACAACAGATATGGGAGGTAAAGGAATGTTTTCAAGTAACCTGTCATCGAAACGAAACGATATCCTTCATTAACACCTGGTCGTTCATCGTAAATCTTACAGCCATCCATTACTAGGACGTAACCCTGGACAAACAGAAATTGACAAAAACGAAGCAATCCTTACAATGGGTCCCGAACCAAGATCGATCGTTGCATGTGGAATCGTCATATACTCCGTCGGAGCCGTAGTAGGCATCATCGGGCCAGTAGCTGCGGCAGCGGCAGCCGCAGCAGCTGCGGCCAGACTTTGGTGTTCATCGAGAGCTGACACGGCCATAACCCCACCTGGTGGAGCAACAAGTGGCAAGAAAAAAGGCAGCACGAAGAGTTGAGAAAGGGAAGAAAATAAACATTGGTTTCTTAGGCCTGTCGCACCGCTGTTGAAGGGATAAAGAATCTAGACGAAATAAGCAAGCGAGACTGGGTAACAAGCTGGTACAACCAGTATTACCGTCAGTTTTAACGGTAAAGCGACAGCGGCTTAGTTGGAGTTCAAGCCCCTAAAATATGGGAGGGGCACAAACGAAAGAAAGAAAGAAAAATCAAACGAAGTAAGTGCGATAAAAACCATTACCTGGATTTGACGTCATGTTTGAAGATAAAAAAGCTCCAACCGTTCACCCGTGCTCCCAAAGGTAAGGACGAAAGTGAAAATATGGATGACCTGCCACGCAAAATTCGAAAACGCCAACCATCGCATAAACACGGAAGTTACTAGGAGTCAAGGCGCTAACTTTTCTATCTCAAAAATTTCTCGTACTGAAACTAGAACGCAAAACTAAACAACAGTCTGGCAGTAACCCGCTGCTAGAATGACAATGCATCGCAGTGCCAAGGAACTCCATTACTTCTGCTTATTACCTAGGAAGGCTTGGACAGGGAGGTTGGAACTCTCGATGCTGTCTAACTGTCATTGATTGGTTGGGGAAAAGTGCGGTGGTGACGCCAGTCAGCCTTGTCCACTAGGAGGAGAGGGAAGAAGAGGAAAGCACCAAGGTTCTAGGCGAATGGGGAACCAAACATGGACAGATGGTAGGGGTTTCGTCTGTATCCTGCAGGAAAACAGCCTCCTACAGCATTGGTTGGTTGGCGGAAAGTTTCGACAAAAGATCTTACATTCGCGAAACTTACTCGACCTCGAGACAGTGTATGAGTTGCTAACGAAGGATTACTGGGCCCAGAATCTTGAGCGAATGTCGCAAGCACGAAAATGATGCCACGGTCATGCTGGACAGCGGCTTCTAGCAATAAAATCTAGGGTTTCGATGAGCAATGCGAGCTCCCCCCCCAATAGATAAACAGCCCTTTTTTATAGCCACATCTCCTTCGATTGGCTGACTAGGGAATTCAAACTCTCAAAGTGCACTGCTTTTGAATACAGAAACCTGGACTTGGTGGGCAAACGAGGGTCAGGCCCGGCCACCCAACCAAACCCTCGTTGGTTGCACCCGAACCAGCATACTGCCCAGGCCGGACCGGAACTCCAACCTCCCTGAAAATTGGAAGCATTGCATACTCGCTGGTAATGGTGCCAACAGATTTACTGTTATGAGTTGTACTAAGAAGAGTGCGCGGAAGACTTAATAAAAAGGATGAAACTACAGAATTACTGAATGACAATTGAATGCACAAGAGAGGCATTTGTAGGGCGAATAAGTGCTAGGCGCGGACCTCGGGATGTGGGTGGGTTGGAGGTGTCGCGATTGGTGCGGGGCGACTCGGAAGTTGTTCGGTCTGAAGTGTAGGCCGAACCTCGAAACTGACGCAAAGTGCTCAGGGTTGTTCTCGCTAGGAGCAGCCTCTCCAGTAATGAATTCGTATTCATTACACTCTCCCACCTTCTAAACAAGGTGCCCTTATACGTGGCCGAGTCTTGTAGTAGCGTGAACACTGCAGATCTCCAGTTGAAACTGATCTGACGGTGCGGAAGCGCTTTGACTTTCAAGTTGACGCAAGGCTGACACGTTGACTTGGCTAATTTGGAAAGAGTTGAAATGTCAGCCGTCGAATTATCCAGATGTCGATCTGGCGGTTGCGATCGAAATGTCGAAGTGAAATCTGCAGGTGCATGAAAGTCTTCGATGTAACAGATATGAGTCGGACGGTGAAGATGAACGCGATGTTGGGCGGGAGTCTGACACGTTGTCAGAGTTCGATGAGTAGAAATCCGTCGATGTCGGTTCAATTGATCGTAACCGTTCATCGTGCTGTCGGGGTCTGACGAGGCTGTCAGAAAACTGCCAAGTGCTCTTTCTCCCCCCCCCCCTTCAAAAAGCTTCGCGTGGCAGTATCGAGTATCTCCAGTTGTCAGCAGCTGCAAGCCGAAATTGCGGTCTATTTGTCTTGTTGGTGTGGCAAAACCAAATTTCTCGATTGCTGCAGAATCCCCAACTGGCAGCAGCTGCCACCCGAGAACCAAATGTCGTCGCTGGCGCGAACCCGTTGGCCGTTTTGTCGCTAGTAAAAAGTCACGAAACCAGTCCAGAATTCCGTAGGTCGTGACTCCGGATCGTTGAATTTCGTCGTCGAAGGCCGTCGCGAAAATCACGAAGTCGTTTTAGCGCATCAGAGACACTCGACGAGAGGGGCGGATCACGTAACTGACCGAATGTCAGTCTTGAAAATTCCCATGAAAACGCAAACTGAGGTGTTGATGACGTCAGTACCTCCGGCGACCTTGTCGTGGCTCTCCGAGGCATTTGTTGTGATTCTCCGAAAACGTCCAGGCAGAGGCGCAAAACAGCTGCTCTCCCTCCCCCTGGCTACCGAATAATTTTCCAGCTTCGAACTTGAATTGTCGATGACGTCAGCGCCTCCGGCTACGTTATCGTTACCCGCCGAGTACCTCCGGGCAGGGGCGAAAACCGCTGTCGCGTTGTCCCCCCCACATGCTGCAAAACTTTTCCTGGTGTTGTCCCTGGTACCCCCGAGCAGCTGCCGAGCTGTACTGCTACACTTTTAACGCCGAGTGCCTTCTCGCGCTTAATCAAGTACCACTGCAACTCCGCCGTTTGGCACGGATGCTGTCAGCGAGGTCGCTGACTTCGTTAATACTCATCCTCAGAACTGCTCCTGGTGCCCGCAAATGTCGGAACCGAAAAACACTCGTACGTCTTAGTCACCCGCAGTTTATCCCCTTGAAGAACCGGTCTATCTTGTCAGAACTATATTGTAGGCTATAGTGGGGCACTCCTTATGGGGTACAGTAGTGTTAGGGTTTCCTATTTGTACTCCTCATGCTGCTTAATGAACTCATTTTCCTCGTTCTTATTCTCACATGATATTAGAGCAGAATCGTTCCTAGGGCCCACCGAACGTTCCGCCCTGCCCTAACTGATTTTTTTTTTTTAGCTGCCCCTGCAGCCGCGCTGCCCTGGCAACCCACGTGCTGCCCTTGCGATCGTGCTGCCCCTGCAGCCGTGCCTGCCCCTGCAACCGTGCATGCCTCTGCAGCCCGTGGGAGCTGCCTCTGCAGCCCGTGGGCGCTGCCTCTGCAGCCGTGCTTGCCCCTACAGCCCGTGGGCGCTGCCCCTTCAGCCGTGCCTGCCTCTGCAGCCCGTGGGAGCTGCCCCTGCGGGACACGCGCGACGTCCCCCCCCTGCTCGTCGCGGCGCCCCCTGGGTGCCGTCCCTGCTCGTCCCGACGCCCCCGGGGCGTCGCCCCTGCTCGTCGCGGTGCCCCCTGGGCGTCGTCCCTGCTCGTCGTGACGTCCCCCGGGCGTCGCCCCTGCTCGTCGCGGCGCCCCCTGGGCGCCGTCCCTGCTCGTCGCGGCGCCCCCAGGGCGTCGCCCTTGCTCGTCGCGGCGCCCCCTGCAGCAGCTGCCTCGGAGCCCTGCCCTGCAGCAGCTGCCGCAGAGCCCCCTGTCGTCGTCGCGGCCCCGCCTTACAGCAGCTGCCGCGGAGCCGCCTGCAGCAGCTGCCGCGGAGCCCCCTGCCGCCATCGCGGCCCAACCCTGCTGCAGCTGCCACGGAGCCGCCTGCAGCAGTCGCGGCCCCGCCCTACAGTAGCTGCCGCGGAGCCCCCTGCTGCTGACGCGGCCCCGCTCTGGAGCTGTCCCGGCCCCGCCGTCGCCGCCGTCGTGCGCCTACCCTGCTCGCCCAGCGAGCGACTGCCCTTCCCGCCACTGATGAGCACTTGCCCTACCCGCGATTCCCGCGCGCCTGCCTTACTAGCGCGCTGGCGCGCTGGCCTGCCTGCCGCGCTTGCTTGTCAATCAAGCCGCACCGCCCAGCTGAGCCGAGCCGCCTTGCAGCGCCGAGCCGTGTCGTGCTACCGGGCTGTGCAGCCCTGCTCTACTCAGCCACACTGCCCTGCCCGTGCTGCTACAGCTGTTTCTGCTGCTACTACTGCTACTACTGCTACTGCTGCTCCTGGCGGTGGCCAGATGCAGCTCCAGCGACGTCCGCATGAGTCCCTCACGCCCCAGTAGCTTCGTGAGTGGTACGCTAGTTGGGGTTGTAGGGGTGGCCGCGCTGCTACTGCTGCTACTGCTGTTACTACTGCTACTGCAGCTGCTACTGCTACTTCTGCTCATGGCGGCGGCCAGATGCAGCTCCAGCGACGTCCGCGTGAGTCCCTCACGACCCAGCAGCTTCGTGAGTGGTACGCTAGTTGGGGTTGTAGAGGTGGCCGCGCTGCTACTGCTTCTACTGCTGCTACTGCTGTTACTGCTGCTACTGCTGCTACTGCTGTTACTGCTGCTACTTCGGCTACGACTGCTAGTGCTGCTCCTGGCGGTGGCCAGATGCAGCTCTAGCGACGTCCGTGTGAGTCCCTCACGCCCCAGCAGCTTCGTGAATGGTACGCTAGTTGGGGTTGTAGGGATGAGTGTCGCCCTGGGGCGGGTCGTTCGGGAGCTTCTTGTAGTGACCAGGTGCAGCTGCAGCAGCGTCCACGCGCGGTCCTTTCGCCCCAGCAGCTTCGTGAGTGGTACGCTCAGAGTAGAGGGTCACAGAGTACTGCTCGCTGCCCGTACGTCATTCGCACTGGTGCTCGGGCTGGTCAGCCTTGCGTGACGGTTGGTCACACAGAGTCCCGCTGCTTCGCCAGTCTGAGCGACGCCTGGCGTACAGAGTTTGGCGACGACGTTGAGCTCCCCTCCTGGCTGGAGCCGCTTAGGCAGAGGGTAGATATCTTTGCTCTTGACTATGACGCTATCCTCACTGCCAT